CTAATGATATAATTATTTATTAGAGTATGTATGAATATCCATGATAATATCAAAACAACTATAATCTTTTGTTTCTATAGATTTTATTATAATTCTTTGAATCTCAAATTTTTAAAATTTTATATTTATAATATTAAATTATTCCACTATAATAAAATATTTTATATTATATTTAAAAAATATCAAAAGTGAAGAAATAACTAGTTTACTTCATGTTCATGTCAAATAGAAAGATTTAATTTGTATGTAGGTTTTGAAAAAATATTTTTAAGATAATGAACGTAGACATAAAATTATATTGGTCTTCTATTTTTAATTTAATAAAAATACTAAATAGATAAATCAAGTTATGAAGCAATATTTGGCATGTATAAATAACTACCATTAAGATATTTATATCCTTTTTTTGCCATTCACAAAATTTGCCTATAATATTATAATATATTTTTAATTTAAATTTTACTTTTATATATTAATTATGGTTATATCCATTAATTTAATACTTTTTACTTTATAAAAATTAATAATCTTGCCATAAAATATTTGGCAAATTTTTTAACAAATCTACATACAAAAATAAAGATATAATTTAATAAAGCTTAAGAATAAGAAAAGTTAAACATATATATATATATATATATATATATATATATATATATATATATATATATTTCAAGGAAAATCCTTAATTACATATTTGCAACAAAGTATGATTACTTTATTATAATATTAAAAATATTTGCACTTATGATAACTTTGATTATTGTAAAAATAAATAAGTTTTTATTTATGAATAAACTAATCTAATTTTATATTGATTATATCTACCAAAGTTTATAAAGATTCATCCCATATTCCATGTAACTCTTTTTGAGCCATATAAAACAATAGATATATTGAAAGAAGTCAAATATTACTTTATTTTATAAAAATAGATAATATTTAGGAATTTAAGATAAAAAAAAGTCTTAAATTCAAGGAATCATTGATATAGATTGAAATATATTAAATAATACCAAAGATATGATATTAATAAATGTACAAAAGATCTATCTAAAAATCTTATAAATGTAGTAAATAAAGATGATATTTTTTATTAATAATATGTATAAAAATTAAATTGAAAAGTCAAGCAATTACTTTCTATAAAGAAAAAAAAAATCAATAAAGATTACATTCTATCTTCTATCATTGTTTGCACTTTCTTTATATTTGTAATAGTAAAGAGATAGAAAAAAAAACAACCATTAGATTCAACTCAAATACTATCATTTATTGAGTTATTAAGCAAGGCATTGAGATTTTTGTAATCTTTTAGACAACATAATGGAGTTGGAGACCCTCAAGAACATGTTTTTATTAAAATAGATGGTGAAATATAATGCATTTGGTATCATGGTTTTAGAAGAAACTTTCAATATTTGGTGATATTATTAAAAGTAGAAACTATTCTTGATAGTGTTGCAAATTTTTTATTTGAAGGAAGTTAAGACGGTCTCAAAAATAATCAAATAACAAGATAATATTTTAGTACTAATATAAAATATTATCAATGGTTGACAAGACCTATCAACTATCTTTAAAGAGAACAAAATCAAAGTATGTGGCAAATATAATTTGATACATCTTTGATTTTTTCAACATATAATCACAAGCCCTTGTAGAACTTGTTCATACAAAGGGAAGTAATTTCATAGACATAATCCACATTTGTAATTATTTATATAAGATAAGTTATATAAAAATAAATAAAAATATATAAATTATATATTATCTTTAAAAATAAGTTTTATTTGACTTTATATGTCTTTATAGGTGATAGGTAGATTAAACATTTAGCCAACAAATTGACTATGTATTGCACATATTAGCTACTTGTGGTAGAAGTTGGCCATGTGGCGCACATACAAGAAACATGCTTTATAAATTAATCATATGACTTGCAAGTTGAACATGTGTCAAATGTTGCATAAAACATCCCTACATAGCTCATACTTAGATAATTAATATCGATATACCATTAAAGCCTTCATCACTCTTGTCAATGTTTTTTTTATTCTTAATCTTATTTCAAGAATATCTAGTCTTCTTGTCTATGGTAAGAATCATTATAGTTTTAATATTAATCAATATTTGAGTAAATATATGTTTTTCTTCTAAAGATGCAAGAGTGAATTGATTTTTTGATTACTAATAATTTATGTCCTTAGTATTTGTAAAATTCTAACAATTTAATATTATAAAATGGTGACTAAACTAGTTATTAAATAATAAGATTTATTCAAATAACGTCTTCTCAACTCCACTTATTTTCTTCAAGTAATCACTATAAATCATCTTGATATTTTAAGTGTATTTTGATTACTTTGTCAATTTAAAAGTAAAACTCTATCTTGACACCATGGTTTCTTAGTCACTAAAACTTGGAATGCAAGAGTAAAAAATATCCTTTCTATAATATTACTTACAATTTTTGAAAGAACCTTTGCATTCATTTTAGTTTAGTTACAATCTTATTTTATAATTTTTCATTAATACCAAGTATTCTTCACAACAGAAGCTTTTAAAAATACTTTTCTTAGAATTTTTAATTAAAATTAAATTGCAATAGTATACATATATATATATATATATATATATATATATTATAGAGGAAATAAAATTATAATTCTTGAAATAGTTCCATGCATAGACAGGGCAATGTTCTGCTCGTCACACTGTGGACAATTAACCATATGACAACTATCATCCATCCATGCACAAATGAACCTTGTTCTAAATGAATATCGCATATGATGTGGTTCCACGCTGTGACGTACGTTCATTCATTCATTCGTCATTTTTTCATCCTTTTCGGCGCTGGCCATGCGGCACCCGAGGAGGGAGCACGGAGAGAGAGGTGGTGGCGATGCTCAGCCAGCAGCGATGCGGTGGTCCTAGGCAAGCATTGTTGCCCATCGACGAAGTACCGCACAAGGAAGCGAACACTGGGTCACGTCGACCCCTTATATTCGATAGAAGTGCACTAATATGGGAATTGAGATCCACTTCGGCGTCGGGTGAGGAGGCGACATCTCTACTCATCCCGCGCATTTGAATAGTATGTAAGCGTTGGTTTTTAACGACCTTGCCCGAGTCTCATCAATCATCACCTGAAACCAAATAGAGCTGAAGTGGCTCAGCTTCCTTCATGAGACGATGCCATAACCTCGACGCTAAACGCGATTCGACGATAAAATGTCTCTCAGGATGAGAATTGCGACTAGGCAATCGATGCTTCTCTCCTGCCTTGTGTTGTCACCGTGCAAAATTCTTTTTTACGGTAAAATTCTCGATTAAAGCAGCTGCTTACATCGTAGCGTTAAAATTCGGTCTAAACTGGGAATCTGCAACCAAGAGCCGGGCGTAGAAGCAGTTGAGCAACGCAACAATCACGAGAGGATCGGATCGGAGGGGTCGGTAGGGTGAGGTTACCAATCCAGGTGTCAAATCCATGTTCCTAAATCTGGATCTCTGGGTCGACGTGCCAGTCCGAGATGAGGTCTCAGTGTGAGGAAACCAAATGAGGTGACAATCCTTCTATTGCGTACGATTTGAAGTATAATGTGAAGTCGAGGGGACACGGTGATTTGTTTTCTTCAAGAGATTGGAGGTAGTCATTTCGATTTGAAGAAAGAATGAAAAAAAGGAAACGAGGTACCCTAGTTTGGATTTTTGTTTCACAAACCAAAACATTACAAGAACATGCAAGTTACACAAAGTTGCTAATAACAATTCATTCACAAAAAAACATGACAAAAGTAATGGTATTTTTTAAATTAATCGTGTGTGTGTGTGTGTGTGTGAACGGATATATATATATATATATATATATATATATATATTACATTTTTAATAATAAGCATAACACAGTTTTTGAAGAAAAGATGTTTACATGGATTATATCAATTTAAAACTAGTTTTTTTGCACTCATAACACTGGATATCAATATTACAGTTTCAAAAAGTACGGTGGATAAATTGAAATTCTTTGCAATCATATTGCTATAAATGTTTTAAAGAAGAGATCAATAAGGAATTTTGATGGAAATGATAAATATTCGGCAATGCAAGATACAAAATTTGTCTTTAAATTGAAGAAACATGTAAGGATTTGATCATATAAAGATACATCGACAAACAAAAACTATTAAAAAAATAAAAATAAAAATAAAAATTGGTGTTGCAATCATTAAATATTGAAAACACATGTAATTATTACTTATCAAGATTAATTAACTGACTTGAACACAAATCTACAATGTGCAGAAAAGGTGTGATGCACTAGAACTATACACACTAAGCAGAAAATTTAGAAAAACACTTATTTGAAAAGAGAAGTATAAAAGTAAAAACAAAACTTACATTTTATTTATTTATTTATTTATTTATCCCATAGTCATGTCGAGCACTAAAATTTGCTAAAAGTGCACATCACATATTATTGAATTTTTTTGGGAAAAATAGATTTGATCTAAAATATAAATGATACTATTTTATGATTTAATGTTATTATTGGTAACTATAAAAACATCAAACAATATACAAAACGGAAAGATTAAAATAAAGTGTATAGATCCAAGGACCATTCGTGTTTTGTAAAAGTTCTTTTAAGTGTTCATTGTAAATAGAATAATACACTGATTTGTTTGACACAGTAAAGCTTCCAGAATTTGTTTTTTTAGACCTATCATACGGAGTGGCGGGTTATTCCTTTTAGTTAATTATACTTTCCTTCTCCCATGTCCCATGAAGCTGCCCGAATTTACTGCTGCCCGGTGGGAACAACAAGAGAAGGATTGACCGCGGGCATCTGACGTGGAACGTGAACCTTGGGATCAAACCGACCCAGCAGCAAATTGACCGAGGAGGTCACGCCGTATCAGGAATTGCCACGTGTCATCTACTGTACACGGTTATAGATCCACACACGGCCATGAGACCCCATCCCGAGCGACGAACAACCCTAGAGAGAGTGTGTGTGTTTTTCGCTCATGCTCAGAGTGGTCCGTCATTGCTTTCCCCCCCTCGACCTCCGATCGCACGCTGCCCTTGCCACATTATCACATTCAGGTTTGTCGATCGGTAGTTATTCCATGCGTTTCGTTGGTTGTGCCAGATTCCGTCGGAGCTGTTTCTTTCTCGGTGCATTTCGGTATCGATCTCATTTTGTATGGTTTTGAACTTTGTCGGGGTTGAGAGTTAGATCTGATGTGTGCATTGTGGTGCAATTGGCGTGTCGCAGGTTGTCTGTGATGGATGTTTGAAGGAGTGGTGGTAGGTGAGGGAGGGTGTTGATTTTAAGTGAGTGAGAGGTTGGAAAAAGGGAGGGCGGGGTAGGGCGTGGAAAGAGGTTTTCGAGATGGAGAAGACTTGCACCTTGCTGGTGCATTTCGACAAGGGGACACCGGCACTAGCGAATGAGATCAAAGAGCAGCTGGAAGGTCATGACACGGAGCTGAAAGTAGATGCGATGAAGAAAGCAGTGATGCTTCTTCTGAATGGTGAAACTCTGCCCACACTGTTCATAACTATTGTGAGATACGTGTTGCCCTCGGAGGATCACACTGTGCAAAAGCTTCTGCTTCTGTACTTGGAGATCATAGACAAGACCGATGCTAAAGGGAAAATCCTCCCGGAGATGATCCTCATTTGCCAGAACCTCCGCAACAACTTACAACACCCGAACGAGTACATTCGGGGAGTGACATTGCGTTTTCTTGCGAGATTGAAGGAAGCCGAGCTCATTGAGCCCTTGATCCCGTCCATTTTGACCAATTTGGAGCACCGCCATGCTTTTGTGAGACGAAATGCCATTTTAGCGATGAGCGCGATTTACAGTCTCCCTCAAGGAGACCAACTCCTTGTTGATGCGCCGGAAATGATCGAGAAATTGCTTGCCAGTGAGCAGGATCTGTCTGCACGTCGGAACGCCTTTTTGATGCTGTATACATGCGCGCAGGATAGGGCAGTGAATTATCTCCTGAATCATTTGGAAAATGTGTCTTCGTGGGGCGATATTCTGCAGATGGTAGTTTTGGATCTTGTGAGGAAGGTGTGCCGTTTGAACCCAGATGAGAAAGGAAAATACATGAAGATCGTGATCTTGTTGCTGTCTTCCACATCTGCCGCTGTTTCATATGAGAGTGCAGGCGCTCTGGTGTCTCTATCCTCTGCTCCTACTGCCATAAGAGCGGCTGGAAACTGTTATTGCCAACTCCTGCTGTCACAGAGTGATAACAATGTCAAACTTATTATTCTTGACCGGCTGACTGAGCTCAAGGCTGCTCACAGGGAAATAATGGTGGAGATGGTAATGGACGTTCTTCGTGCTCTTTCAAGCCCTAATCTTGATATTCGGCGAAAGACACTGGATATTGCTCTGGATCTCATCACGCCTCGAAACATTGACGAGGTCGTGATGACTCTCAAAAAAGAGGTCGTTAAGACCCAGACCATGGAACTTGAGAAGTGCGGAGAGTATAGGCAAATGTTGGTGCAAGCTATCCATGCCTGCGCATTGAAGTTCCCAGAGGTTGCAAGCACAGTTGTGCATCTCCTCATGGACTTCCTAGGGGATTCGAACGTTGCTTCCGCACTTGATGTGGTCTTCTTTGTGAGGGAAATCACTGAGACAAATCCAAAGCTCAGAGAGTCTATTATGTCCAGGCTTTCGGACACATTCTATCAGATTAGGTCATCTAGAGTTTGCACTTGTGCGCTGTGGATTATTGGCGAGTACTCTCACTCTCTGCAGGAAATTGAGAGTAGCATTGCTTTAATTAAGCAATCTTTAGGAGACATGCCTTTCTTTTCAGCAGCTGACGAAAATGATGGTAGTGTAGCTGGTGACAACAAATCTTCATCTGGCAACAAGGCACCTCCGCCAATCAACGTATCTAGCGCTTCGTCAAAACGGCCTGCCGTTTTAGCTGACGGAACATATGCAACACAAAGTGCCGTGGTTGACAATGTTCATATCTCAGGAACTTCCGCAACCTCAAATTCAGCTGCAAATCTGAGAGCTATCCTCCTAACTGGGGACTTTTTTCTGGGAGCTGTGGTTTCTGCTACTCTGACCAAACTCGTGATGCGCCTGGAAGAGGTTCAGACTTCCGGAGTTGCCTTGAACAAAATCAAGGCTGAAATTATGCTGATTTTGGTGTCGATGCTAAGACTTGGTGAATCATCTGTCCTGCCCCACCCCATAGACAGGGATTCTTATGATAGAATTTCTCTTTGCATTAGACTTCTTTCAAGCCCGGATGATGTGATCCGAAGCGTATGGTTGAAGTCTTGCCACGACAGTTTCGTAGTTATGCTCAAGGAGAAACAGGATCGTGAAAATGAGGACTTGAAGGCCAAGGCTATGGTGTCATATGCACAGCCAGACGACCTTATTGATTTCTATCATCTCAAAAGCAGAAAGGTAAGAATCATTTGCGTTTGTGCATTGGAAAGCCTTACCGATGTTAGTAGACCTAAAATTTGTTTAAACATGGGCAGTTCTTTACCACCCTATCTACAGCTGTTCAAGTCATGTACTGAACCTCTTTGTATATGGGGTTTAGTTTACTGTGTGGTTTAGTTAGGTTCTGAGGTCCTGGTTTTTGTACCTGAGTTGTCAGGGTATGAGCCAGCTGGAACTCGAAGATGAAGTTCAGACAGATCTCAAGCGCGCAACAGGAGAAATTAGCAAAGACGGCGAAACCGATAGGAACCTGAACAGAGTTTTGCAGCTCACAGGTTTCAGTGACCCAGTGTACGCAGAAGCGTACGTGACTGTTCATCAGTATGATATAGTGTTAGATGTGACGGTTGTAAACCGCACTTCTGAGACGCTACAGAACCTATGCTTGGAGTTGGCAACCATGGGAGATCTGAAGTTAGTGGAACGCCCACAGAATTATGCTTTGGCACCCCAAACCAGCAAGCAAATCAAGGCCAATATCAAGGTGTCTTCAACAGAAACAGGAGTCATCTTCGGGAACATTGTATATGAGACTACTAGTGCGTTGGACCGTAATGTCGTTGTATTGAATGACATACATATCGACATCATGGATTACATCTCACCTGCATCTTGTGCAGATGTCGTCTTCAGAAACATGTGGGCTGAATTTGAATGGGAAAACAAGGTAACCTCACAATCTCTTTTTTACATTTCCCCTTTTTTTTAAATGATTCGATTTCGGGTTTTTATAAATTTTATCTTCAGAACCTGTAGAAGAACTATGTGCTGTAAAAGAATTGAGTTTGATCTTCAGGTAAAGGTAAAGGTTAGATGAGCATGTAACGAGTTTATGCATTATTTAACTTCCGAGTTTTTAAACCTACAGTGTCATCCTAAATTGCTGTCTTTCAGCTTTTCGCAACTTGTCAGAGGCTCTCGTTGGATCGCATGCAGTAGACGTAGCCATACATTGTTGATCATAACGCAACAGCTGAACTACGGTTTGTATGCGTTTGTAGGTTGCTGTTAACACCAATATTCAAGACGTTCAAGAATTTCTGAACCATGTTGTTGCCTCAACTAATATGAAGTGCCTCACTCCTCCGTAAGTCTTTGTTTACACCTGCAAGTAATATCTGGTCTTTTATCTTTTCGCCTTTTTTTCATAATATCATGTTATAATGGAAGATGTATCGGGTGACCTACTTCATTCCGTTAATCTAATTTTTCGCTTTATTGTCGTCATGAGCAGGTCTGCATTGGAGGGAGACTGTGGTTTTCTTGCTGCTAATCTTTATGCTAAGAGTGTTTTTGGAGAGGATGCTTTGGTCAATGTTAGCATTGAGAAACAACCGGATGGTAAGCTGGGCGGTTACATTCGAATCAGAAGTAAGACTCAAGGAATTGCTCTAAGTCTAGGGGACAAGATCACTTTGAAACAGAAAGGCTAAGTTTTGCAGATCCTTGCAGATCCTTGCAGATCTTTCATGGTACTGCAGCTCCTCTCCAACTGAGTTCTTCAAGTATAACAGGCACTGAATCATCTAGTATTTAGGCATTATGCATGTAGTAGTGTACATGCATGAATGTTTCTTCACAGATGGACCTCCATCTATCTCATTCAGAGAGAGCTCAGATTCTTCGAGTTCGACCTCTTTTCCCCCATTCTGCCTTTTTTTATCACCTATTATGCATTCTAGTTCGTGTATTTTCATGTTTTTCAGAAAGAACAGTCACATTGAAGAACAGAGTTTGTATACAATGGCCCACCCATAGTTCAGTGGAAAAGTTGAGTCCAGATTTCAAATCTAGCCTCTTATTTAAGAAGAGCATCGTTTTTTACAGCGATTGAATAAGCTTCAAGACTCAACTGGATAAGGGGAAGTTCACATGCCACTGTTCTGCCTTATGGGTGTTTGCGTCCACAGAATTGTCTCGATAATTCAACTGTGGGTAGAGCCGACAGTTCCAAGTATGGAATCAAATATTCGTTTTATGTTTCTATCTTTTGAATAAAATTTTCATGACATTAAATGATGATCTAGTGGGAATTGAATTCTACAGTATTACTGGTGAACTGAATCAACAGTAATAACGGGAGGGGATGTGAAAACTACGACTTAGACCAAAATGACAGATTTATCGAGAACAGTACCTTGCTGTTCATATATATTAAACATCTTTTTTCTTTTTCATGCGAAGTGGGGAAATAAGTCCTTGGATAGTAAATGGCACTGATATGGGTGTTCAAACATTGCAAAACATAGTTTAACTTTATTCATACTTGTTAAGGAGTGTGTTCAATAAACCTACAGTCACTAATTAAATCTTGTGAAAAATAAGGTAGCTTTGAAAGAGGGCTCATTGTTTGGATGTGAGTTTGTGGTCTTTGGTACAACACAAAATGTTAACTTAGTAGAACTATAAAAAATGTAAAAACATGAACACTAAGGTCATGCATTCAAAACAATAACCCTGATGTATCAATGTTTGTTATTTATGTAATGTCAAACCATTTTATTCTTAAATTGGTGCAATTTCAAAGCAGATTTATTTGATTAATAAAATCATAAATTGATAGAAGGAAAAAAAATATCATTATTTCACTTGCAAAAGTCAAATGAAATCATAATTTTGTAGGGAAGAGAAGCATGTCTTTTTGATTCTTGGCTCTACCAATGAAATTGTTTATGCTTCATAGTATGAAAGCTTTGCCACTTGAAACAAATAATTGTGATGTGTAAGTCTATGTTCAACCACATTAATTGCATTTAAATCTTTTGAATCTCAGAAATTCCACAAAAATATTTATAAACAGGAACTAAGCTAAAAATAAAATATGCTTCTGATTAATATCATTATCAGATACAAGAACAACTATAATAAGAGTGGATTTGTAATTGTGAAGCACTGGAAGTTATTGATGAGGATGAATGTTGTAGAGAAACAAAACATATATGTTACTAAAAAGTTCACCAATTAGTATATGACAACAAAACCTTGTAGAAATAAAGAAGGGGTATGAAATTGTGAAGCGCTTTAGTTGTTGCACAATCATAAAGAATAAAGATCTTGAGTGAGTTCTAATTTTGCAATGGTTATTGGAAATCAAATACTTCTTTGCAACGTGCACAAAACAAGTCAATTACTATTGACAATTTTCATTTTGTTTCTCTACGTGTATTGAATGAAAAAGTACAATTTTTTATAACAAAAAAAGAGCAACCAATGCAACCCAAAAAATGATAGTTTGCAACGTCTTTACAATTTTGTCATTATTGTAAATTTTAAATTTTTACTTTCTTTTACCATTGTAAGTAATTTGAGTTTGCTAACTTCAATAGGCTCAGCTCATTTGACAAAAAAAGAAAAAAGTGAAAAGTCCTTTTTTAAAAAGTTCGTTTTTACAAAACTGTAGCCCAAAGTCCTCGTTCATCCATCATCAATTCTAACACATAAATCAGCTACGGCCCCTGCCGATTCATCCATCAACCAATCACCCCATCATCCATCCACTACCACTCGCCCATCCGTCACCTCACCGTTCATCCTCAAACACGATATCATCCACAGTCACATCACACATCCACACGTTCATCCTCAAACACGATATCATCCACAGTCACATCACACATCCACACGTTCATCCTCAAACACGATATCATCCACAGTCACATCACACATCCACACGTTCATCCTCAAACACGATATCATCCACAGTCACATCACATCCACACGTTCATCCTCAAACACGATATCATCCACAGTCACATCACACATCCACACGTTCATCCTCAAACACGATATCATCCACAGTCACATCACACATCCACACGTTCATCCATAAATCAGATATCATCCACAATCACATCACACATCCACACGTTCATCCATAAATCAGATATCATCCACAATCACATCACACATCCACACGTTCATCCATAAATCAGATATCATCCACAATCACATCACACATCCACATGTTCATCCATAAATCAGATATCATCCATCACGCAGGTTCGGCTAGCAGTTCATTCATCCGCCCGCGGGGGAGGAGGGAGGGCGATGGGACCCAGGTAGCAATGTCGCAGATCAAGATCGCAAAGGGAAGGGGGGGGTGGTTTTTTTTTTTTTTTTTTGATGATCAACTCTCGCAGGTACTGTAGAGACAGGAACTACTACCCCCTTCCCCGTCCCCCAAACCCTAAAGCCCTCGACCAGGGGGAGTTGCGCAATGTGCTGCTTCCCCTCATCGCATTGCAGCAGGCCCTACCTTACGACAGATCATCGATCATCCCCCCTCTCTCGCCCTCTCCCTCCTTCTATTTCTCTCCTCTGGTTTAATTGCGGGGTTCTTTCTCAGTGGCCTCCTTTGGCTTCATCGTCACTTAGGGTTTTTCTCATCTCAACTCTATCATGGCCTTGCCGCTGCCGCTGCGTTGCCTACCTGCATCATGACCTGTGCCTCTTGCCCCTCAATCTCGCAGTGTTGGTTTTTGCTACTTCTCTTGTGAACATTCCCGTGTCTCCACTTTCGAGTGCCTGTTCGGGAATTGCATCCTCTCTCCCACTGGATATCCTTCTTCTTGACGCCAGTGTGCGTTGCGGTCGCTGGGCGCCAGACTATAGGGTCTGGGCGGGGGCCAGGCATGGCAGTGGTCTCGGACACGGCCCCTGTGCCCTCTGCCGCTGCAGCTGCGCAGCCTGCGCCAGGTAACAATGCTTCTGCTGGAGTTGCTAAGAGTGCGTGGTCGCAGGTTGTGCGCGGCGAGGTGGCACCAGCGGCTGCAGCCGATGCGATGCCTAATGGCGGCAGTAGCAGCAGTGGCAGCAGCAGAAGCGAGACAGTTCCTGCTGCGGTAGAGTCTAGCTCTGTGACCGCATCGAAATTTAATTCTGAAATGTTTGGGCGAGGGGTGCAATGCCCGGTAGAGGAGGTGTCTGCATCTGTTGCACCAATCCCCTCTAGCTCGAGAACCATGGAAGAAATCTCATCTTCCAAAATTGAGAAACATTCTAAAGGAGAGCAGAAACAAACAGAGGTTGACACTCTGAAAGGCGAGCCGGGACAAAGTTCGGTTACGGTAGTCGCAAGTGGAGGCAGCAGTGGCGGCGATGTTTTGAAGCCTGCCAAACCAGCTTGGAAGAGCGCTAGTAGTACTCTTGGTAAAAACCCTGCAACAGGACCTGTGATGGGCGCTGTAGCATGGCCGGCTTTGGGTGATGCAAAGCCTTCTAAGGCGGCTCTCTCCGAGCAATCCCTTAAAAATTCCACTGCAGGAGTGCCTTCTGGCAATTCAACCTCTCAACAGGTTTGCACATGGGCATGACTAGCTGACAATCCGTACTTGGTTTATGATACGCAGTCAGTAAATTCTTTAAACGAGTGTCCGAGTTTGGGCGTTTCTCGGCACCGCATTAGTATGGAGTGTTGGACGTGGATGTATCTGCGTTATTCTCTTGATGCAGTGGTAACGTAGGTTGTTTACTTTCCAGACAGTGCAGTGCTCTTCCGTTGTCTTGCAGCGAAGCTCAAAAGTGAGTAGGGTTTTAGGAGGCAACCTATTTTTTTTAGGGAATTTAAGTCTACTGGATGTGTGTTTAATAGAACATGGATATGCCCCTCGGACAGTACACTTAAGTTGTATACTAGTGCCATGATCCTATTATGAAGCAATGGCCTCGGTAGATAATACTTTCGTGGGCTTTCCTTATCTAGATGGGGTTTAGCTAATGTTTGATTTTGTCTGAAATTCCGCCGATTTACCTAGGTTTCTTGTTGAGTTACACTTTGTAGGTGCATCATCTTGCAGGCAGTTTCGGGAGTGCGAAGGGGACCAACTACGACCAATGTCGATCCAGGCACTGCTCAGGGCATGAAGCCAAAGGGTAACCGAAAACCGCATCATGTCGATCATTTTTCACAGAGGACCGGTTCGGGTAAACCGAGCTCCTCTTTAGATGTTGCAGCATCTGAAGAGGCTGGTGTCACGACGAATGTCGAGTCGTCAGCTCTGACGAATGGGAGCGGGGCTGGTGCCAAGAATGTGCATGGAAATGGAGGTGGTAACGAAAAGAACCGAGGTCAGTACTGGAGGGGGCAGGATAATTATGGGTTTGGTGGTGCTGCGCGACCGAGGTCAAGGGACCAGGGTCGGTCCAATAACCATAACTGGAATAACCAGCGAGGATTTCGTATGAACAATGGCCCATCAGTATCTCTACGAGGTGGTTCAAGGAATTATAACAACAGGGGTGCGGTGAACAACAACAATTTGCATGATTTTGGAAACACACCAGGTTTGATAAGTGCTTCACTGAGATTATGTTTCAGGTCTTCACAGACTCCCGACTTCATGTTGTGAAATGACAAGTCAAAGAGTATAGTATGTTGCTGAAAGAATTTGACTTGATACCATGTCGTTGTTTTCTATCGCTCGCGCGCCCAATAGCCTCATGAGTGTAATTTTCGTGGGATTCTTGTGTTTTCCGCACGGTGATTTATTTATTTATTTAATATTTATATATATTGTAATTTTTTTTGAGTTGTTGATTGTTTATTATTATTATTATTATTATTATTGTATTTATCATTCTGAAAATTCCTCAAACTGGGTGTTCGGAATGCCCACTTGTATATCCAGATCGTAGTGTTTTCCCGTTTAATGTGTCTCTCTATAGGAAACCTGTTGGGGCTCTAGTATTGTAGATGAAATAACTCGAGTTTTTATGAATGTACTAGCAGGTAGTTCAAGTGCTGGTCCTGTTTTTTTCCCGACTGGAGCGTCTGGTGGTGCTGGCCAAAGTTCAGCCCCGCCACTTCGTGCTATGTTGGTGAAGCAAATTGAATACTATTTTAGGTGAGCGTGAATGGTGCGTTCTTATCTGGTTCACCTGATACGATATCCGAAGCAAGCTATCGTCTCCTCCGTCTACCGCCAATTTCACTCTCTATCTTGTTTTTTTTTCGTCATTGGTTTTTGGCTTGCATTTTCTTTTTTGACTTGCTAATGTTGATGGTGCAGTATGGACAATCTCTGCAAGGACATTTTTTTGCGTTCGAAAATGGACAGCGATGGTTTCATTCCTATAAATGTTATAGCGAATTTTAATAGGGTAAGCTCTTTGATCCCATAGATTTTTCTCTCGATATGTTTGACTTGCTGGAAGTTTATATTAGTGAACCCGGACATCATTGCGTAAAGTGGGTATGAGGGAAGACGATGGTCCCCTTAGCCTCCTCCTGGCCTCATGCGTCCAGGAGTTTTGTGTACACAACTTAGCTTGTGCTCCCATGCACACTGACAAGGAGTCTTGAGTTCATATTATCCCTGCCTTTGGGTTAGCACTGCTTGTGTCAAAGAGCCATATGGTTTTAGGCATTACTCACTCAATTATGAAAACAAGGCCTTCGTCGTGTTGATACACCACACCTGTATCGATAGTTTTCTTTGACTTCATTGTTATATGTGCATGCTCTTTAGATCAGGGTCTATGGTTATCTGTAGGACAATGATTTTTCTAATCTAATAGATTGTTGAGGAATTTTGAAATTTTCAGGTGCGGCAGCTGACTGAAGATGCATCCCTCATTTTGGATGCACTTCAGAATTCTTCCTTGGTTGAAGTCAAGGTTGGTCTAGACCATCATGCATTCCATCCCGCTCTAAATGATCCACTTATGCCTTGACTTGGCTACGATTGGTTTTTAGGCTCGGCATATTCTAAAAGCCATTTGGATTCTCTTCTGATTAGCTTTACTTTGCACAGGGTGACAAGTTGCGCAAACGCGATGATTGGGCCACTTGGCTCCTTCCTCCTGCTTCATCCCAGTTCACATCAGCTGCTGTCACTACAGTTGATTCCGTTAAAGGAGACGCTTTGAATAGTGAATTCCCGCAACAGGTTTTGCCAAAAACCACCAATAAGAATGCAACTGAAACTAAGACTGGGGATGATAGTTTGGATATTACGGAAAAACCGCCTGGGTCATCGACAGAAAAATCAGAAGGTGTAGCAGCGGGGGAAAAGTCTTCTAAAGGTAGGATGGGTACATCTGATGAAGATTTAGGGTTCGAGAGCTAGATCGCGTGCTTCAGAAATTAGAAGCAAGTGCTAAGATGCCAGTTAGGAATCCTTGCCGGAATTATTTATAATTTCATGAACCTGTGAGGATCTTTTTCCTTTTTTGGTTATATTTTAAGTGTTTCTTTTCTTCCAATAGTTGCTTTACGAGTTCAAATTGTTCTTTGGTATTTTTTTAGTTAATATACAATTTTATGATGCATGATTATGAAGATACCTCGAAGTCATCCACAGCCTTCGAAGGCAGCCCGTTGCCGGCTGAGAGAGTTGGAAGGGTTTGTGGTTTTCCTCCCCCGCCTGTTGGTCTTGCTACCGTTATAGATGTTGGAGCTTCTGTGGAAAACAATGTTGTGCACACCGCTTCAGGAATTGGCCTGGGAGTATCTTCGATTGATCTGAATACAGGAAGTGAAGAAAAGGCTGTTACAAAACAAATGAAGTCGAAAAAACTAGAGTCAAAGGATTCTGATGGGCAGTGCATGGCTAAAACTGATGGACAGATAGCGAACGCTGGTTCGATGTCTGATCCTGAACATGTAGACCACCCTGGAGACTGGTTAACTCACACTGGAAAACGTCGGGCTTCTAGCAACAAGCGACCACCCACATCACGGCTTGCAGGAGGATTATCGGCGGCTTTTACTGCCAAGGAAAATCCCGATGAGGATACATTTCAGCTTGACGAAGAACTTGAGACTTCCGATCGTCCAAATCTGAAGAGCCATCAACCTTCATCAAAAAGGTTTGTTTTGATGTACTTGGTTCGAGTGGTTCAATCGTCTGAAGTGAATTCGATGTTGTGGAGTGATTGCTTCTCGAGTTATATGGAATTTTGTTACGTTTACCATTTGGTAGTGTTTGCACTATCTCTACATTCCGAGTAATGTGTCATTTACAGTTGAAGTACAATATGATGCAGTGTGCATGATGAGGAGGAGGAAGAAGCAGATATCAATGATCGTGATTTGCAGCGACTCATCATTGTGACCCAGGTCCGTGTCATAGTCAGTGACAAACTTTTGACGAGGACATTGTCTTCCCTATTCACATTGTTCTTGTAAATTCATTACACTTGTGCAGACGTAAATTTCATTTGTACTATTTGAATTGAAAGTAAAATTATCGGCATAATTGTGCAGAGTAAAAAGATGGTCGGAAAGGTCGGGGAGAGGAAAGTTCCTGAAGCGCGAGATCAGGGTCCGAAGATCATCCCAGATGACCTTGTCTCCGTAATAAATGATGGTCTTTATTTCTACGAACAGGTAAAATTCTGGATGATGAACCCGTGGAATTCATGTGCTTAATAGATTTATGCCATTTTAGATGAATGACAGTGAATAGGTTTGGAGGTAGTGATGGAGCTGTTTCCTGAGATTGAATTTTGATTTCGGAGGTTCTAAAAGTCCTTTCTAGACTTGTGGCGTTATGGAGTTATATCTGTAGCAACCGTAAGATTCTGTGTATTGGAAGCAGGTTTAGATTTAGTTTACTTTGTGGGGCTACATATGGAAATTATGTCCATCTATTTTCATCTTTCACCTTTCAGCTTTACTCTAGGAAATAATTTGGTTCGCGTGTCTGCTTGATTGTTATTCATGTTGTGTAGGAGCTATTGTCGGGCAAAGCAAAGCCGCGTACAGCTGTTCCGCCCGTTAAAGGCGCAGCAGGTGAATCTAGTAGACCTAGTAGTTTTGGGGAAACTACTGGTCGTTTTCATGGTGGGGGCAGCGTAGGGGTCACTGGCTCAGATGGTCCCTTAAGGCCGCCCAGAGGGCAAATGAGATCTGCTCGTGGTAGCTTCCAGCAACGTCTTTTCCCTAGTTCGCGATCTAGGCTTACAGCTGAGAGTCCTCCTAGTGACTCTGTTGGTTTCTTCTTTGGACTAACTCCTCCTGATAATCACAGGTCAGTTCTAGCATCCAGCTATGCATATTCTCAATTGAAATCATCTCCATCTATCCTTGAGGATTATGTCAGGATGACTAATGTTCTTCTATAGCACACAGCACACACTCCATTCACGTCCATACTATTGGTGTCCTTGTAAAGTAAAAAAATTGAATTGCTTCTTCAACCAATATTTATAATCAAAAGTCTTACTCTCTTAGTTGCGTCAGATACCCTTTCTGATTTTTAGTCAAATGTTTCTTTGTGATAGATGTCATGGTGTATGCATTGATTTTCTCCTTTTTGCTCGAACCCTCAAATTGGTTTTAGGTGCTCAGCCGTTCTCTCGGTACACTCATTCTTTTAGATCTGTACTGGTTTTGTGCTTACCCTTAGAAGGGTGGTAGTCGTGATTTTTTTTTCTAATAATAATATATATAATATTATATTGATTTGTTTTCTCTCCTCTCGAAATCTTGTCCATTTGGATGCAGTATGTCTTTATCATCATCGTACGGTTCAACGCGCATGGGATCATCACCTTACGGTACTTCACCTGGCGGTAGTTTCATGCCGGGCAGTAGCCCACCGGTGGGATCAGTACCCAAGTCATTTCCCCATTTCCAGCATCCAAGTCATGCCCTTCTCGAAGACAATGGCTTCAAGCAGCAAAAGTTCGTCTCTTGCTCCTGACATGAGTCTTTGTGGAGCACTGGCTTTGTGAACTAATATAGGATGAGAATTATTTTACTGACGTGCGTTATTGCTAGTTGGATGGACGTTATTTGGAATGTCTAAGGTGTTAGTTACTTAGTAGACTTAGTTTATTTCTAAATCTTAAATCTTCGAAAATTTAATCAATTGTTGAACGCAGTTTTCGGGTGTTTGTTTTCAACCGAAGAACTGCATTTAATATTTCAGCTCTTCCCTGTTGCATCTGATGTGCAGGTATGCTAAATACTACAAGCGCTGTTTGGTTGAACGGAAACGAGTCGGTATTGGTTGTAGTGAGGTAAGGCCCTTAATTTTGTGCTTGAATGGCAGTTGTTTCGTTCTGCCGTCAATATAGAATCAATTTATATGCGTACGATTCACTCATTTCTTTGAGTGGCTCCAATAATACCAACGTATATTTTTTGTGTTGTAATTCGTTCATTAGGTTACGTTCAGCTTGGTTAGTCTTGGATTTTATACTACATAGGATTTCTGAACTTCAACATAAGTTGATTCATTGTCCATGTGATGAGAACGATATCATCTTGTTTGTGCAGGAAATGAACACTTTATTCAGGTTTTGGTCTTATTTTTTGCGGACGAACTTCAACACATCCATGTATCAGGAGTTTATAAAGCTAGCTGAAGAAGATGCAGCGGCCAAGTATAATTATGGAATGGAATGTCTTTTTAGGTTTTACAGGTACAAGCACATGGCTTGCATTGCTGTTAAGAATATTCAGTGGACATGAGTATGATTCTTGTTTCATATTTCGTTTAATGTTTCTGGAGTCCTTAACTTTTCCTTCCTCCCGACGTACTCGAAGATGACGGATCAACACTGCATTTGAGTTCATCTATATTTGACAATTTTACGTGAATACAAAAACACTTTTCGTCTGATTTTTGGGTGTTTCTCTTTGTGCAGCTACGGCCTGGAACAAAAGTTCAGGCAGGATATGTATGAAGATTTTGAGAGGCTTACGCTAGATACTTATAAGAAAGGCAACCTTTACGGCCTAGAGAAATATTGGTACTTTCTAATGTCCTCTGTGCGATGTGCTATGTATTCTACTGCGTTTTATATGCCCTTTTATTTTCTTATACGTCAGTTTTAAATAGTGATCCTGGATTCGCATGGAGATATATTTTTTTTTGATTCAGATAGCTGAACTAGATGAGCCATTGATTGTCTCAGGGCATTCCATCATTACCGCAAGGATAAAAGCAAGAAGGAAGTCCCTAAACACCCAGAGCTGGAAAGGCTGCTTAGCGAAGAATTCAGTACCATGGCTGATTTTCGCAAAGCTAAGGAAAGGTTAGCTCAGGAGGCTAAAGAAAAGGAAAGTAATTCCGTCGAAGATTCATCTTCAGAGAACGGCCCAATTGCAGCACCTGTTTCATCCTAGCAAATGAGAATAGTAGGTGGATCCGTCTCGTGTCTCCTATGGCCTTAGTCTAGTTCTGACTTGGCTTGCTGTTGATTGTCTGGACCTGTAACTTTTGCAAAGTGATGCACCCGAGGTGTTTTGGGGCTCCATTCCTGAAATCGATCCATCATGCTGCAAACATCAGCGTGTTGGCAACTACAAGTTTGGGCTGTGAAGGGGTTGGAAGCAACCCGATTAGTAGTGGTAGTTATTGATACCATTGTTTAACAGTAGTTGCATTTTGAAGAGGTTAAGTTTTCTTTAGTAACTTTTAAATTTTTGATTAGTAAGGATCGTTAAGGTTTGGTGCTATTTCATTGCTACCTACGAAATCCTTTTGTGGTATATTTTAGATGCTGCCAGCTTCACGTTGAACATCTTCTGGACATCTCTTACCATCCTGCTGTTAAAGCAGTTCAGCAGTTTTTTCTCAACTTTTACTTAAATTCTAATTTTGTTTCTTGTTTTTTCAAAATGTAATTGTGAATATTTCAAATTTAATGATCTTGATATTGCTGTCCAGTTTAGATGAATGTGCACGTTCGGGGTGCAGTTGCAGACGTAATTCAGGTCAACTGCAACTGCACCCCCATGTGTGCTTTGAAGTACGTCTACATTAGCAAATGAAAGGACAACTTGGTTTAAGATTTGTATATCGGCAGTTTATTACGGTCTCGGAACTTCTGGGGTGAAATCGCCTTCACCCTACTGATATTTTCGTAGTCTTCAGGATTTGGACTTCGCTTTCTGAGTTCATATCCTGGTTCAATGGAAAGAAGGTTTCAACCCTTAAATAGTCTAGATAAGTTTACTTAGTGATGGACAGGCGATGCATCTTAACATGCGTATGTGCCAGACGTTTGTGCCAGACATATGGAATCTGCAGACGTGCGGATTCCATATATATACATAGATAGGGAATTGTTTAATTGACCCATGCATTCAGTAAATCAACCCACCCATGCGAAGGATCCAATCATTTTTTCATTGGTTTTCAACCAATATGGATCCAACAATAGAGAATTTTCTGACGATGGTCAGGTTGATTTAGTAAATGCTTGGGTTAATTTAACAATTCCCTATATATATATATATATATACTATATACTGTTGTGCTATGTTCCAAGTTGTGGAAATGAATTACTTTTGCATTTCTTAAGTTCTATCTTTCAATAATTTCTACTTTGTGGATAAGTAGAAGTAAAGAAATTCAAGAAACCATCAAGAGTAGATTGTTATGTATATGTAGGATAGATTGGCAATCCTTGCCTTAAACTCACAAGCAGTAAGGCAAACCTTGCCTTACACTCAATGTAAAGATGAGAGTGGTAATATTTACTTGAGATTTCTAAATTATCAACTTCCTCTAGTATTTCATTGATTTTTCTGAGTAAAAACTAGTTTCATTTTCTAATTTGATACCAAATGTTTTAATTACACATTAAATCTTTAAAATAGACTATGAAGACAGCTGATCACCTTACAAATAATAGTAGTTTCATCCTACAAACCTAAATTTATCATTATTCAAAACTATGCAACAATCTTGAGATTTAATCAAGCCACACAACATCTTTAATTTTTTTGGTTCATATATAAACTTATTACTCATCAAGTTCTTGAACAATACGGGTTGGTCGACGAGGGGGTCCTAAGTTATCTCTTTCATCCTTAACTAACCAATTTGAAGGCAATGTAGGTGCAATATAACTTAATTTTGGAACATACCCACTTGGCACTACAAGCATGGAGTCATGTGCGCAAGAATAGAGTGATTTGCCTCTCACACTTTGTCGATGGCCATTGGCAACATCCACCATGGCCTTCACATGCAATTCATGTGATGTCAATGACAATGGCTTCCTTGAAAGTAGAGGTGGGGACCCCAATACACTCATGTCTTGAAGATGAGAAAGAGGATCTTTGTCACAACATCTTGAATATTCGTCATCATAAGATAATTCTTCACTTGACAATTCCTTTTCATGAGGTTGGGAAAGCTTAGGAAAGGATTCTCCAAGGCCTCTCATTGATTCATGATTTTTGCAAGGTTGGTATTTTGGATTAGCATAGAAATTTGGTGTGTATTCACAATCTGCAAGACTGAGTAAACTGTAACACAAAAAGTTTAATAATAATATATATATATATATATATATATATATAGTTTTAATGTTGAATTGTCATGCTAACAGTAGTTCTATCAGTGATTCTACTTTTATTTATTTTTCTCAAGAAAAAATAATAATAATAACAATTATTATTAAATGCATAGTCTAATTTTAAATCAATTAATTATTTTAACAAAAAAAAAACAACAATTATGTAAAAACAATTGTAATTACGTTGGTACACTTGGTAAAATATTTTGAGTGGATTCAAGAGTTCTCCATTGATCTGCCTCGGGCATGAATATCACAAAGGCCATTTGTAAATGGCCAAAGAAACATATATCCCCCATGCCCGCACGAACATCATATTTGCATTTAGCTAGGTCAGTTTGATTTGATCCAAAAAGATAGCTTTGAACATTTATGGGCATAGTTGAGAGTGAGTGTGTGTGGATTGGATCTGCAATATTGAAAAGTCGGAACACGCATGGAGCACACACATAATACGTTGGATCTGATTTTTGTGCCATCTTGAATTCTTTTTTGCTTCTTGTCTACAAAAACACAAATCCTTTTTAGCCAATGTCAAATTAAATCAATTACATATACCTGGTATCCTGGAATGAAACTTGCACAATGTGCAAATATTCAATACAAAATACTATATATATGTATATATATATATATATATATATGTCTGAAAATATTGTGAACATTTGAAGGTATATGACTTCTGTTTATAATGTTCATAAGACTGTAATTGTTAGAATGTTAAAAATTAAATTTTGATGCACTAAATCAAACTCATGAGTTTTTGAGTATTAATGTACACAAGTAGAAATATAAACATCTACAAAATCAAAAATAAAATCTAGGCAAAATTTAAAGTTATATAGTGTTAATACTTGGCGGGTGACTAGGTAAGGCATGCCATAGCAACAAAGGATCCTAGGTGATTCCCAAATGTCATCATTTCCAAGGTCACCAAATTTTTCATCAAAAGAAAATTTAAGGAACCGAAACTTTTTATGTAATAAGTCATATGAAACAACTCCATTTTCAAATTCGAGACCATTATCACCTGGTTGATAATGTTTTGATTTCACATAGGTGATTCTCTTCCTTTTGCCAATTTAATTGATTCCTCCCCAAATCATTTGTCCATGTATTATTCCTAAACTAGAGACTCCCAAAGGAGATGGCCTAATTTTGCATGTATTTACATCCACTATCATGTTTGATCTAGAATCATATATAGTAACCTATGCCATAAGTAGGAAACCAAAATTAGAACCTTATTAATAGTTAATTCTAATAGAGTGTTGTTGTATTCAATTTAATTGGCTTTACATGTTTGTTTTTTTGTTTTGTTTTGTTTTTTTTGTTTTTTTTGTCATTTATTCAAGAAATAAGTTCTTTGTGATATATCAATTTACATGAATACAAATCAATTCCAACATTGTATATATGTTTATGTGTAGATATGTATGTATGTATGTATGTATATTATACCAAGCTTCCAGTGTATGAACATTGTATCCCTCCTTCCATGAAAGTTCCCGACCGTTCTCCAACCATGTAGAGCTTGTAATAGGATTGGCCAAGCCCAAGAAACTCTTCTACTTGAAGTTTCCCTATTTTGAATTCTTGAGCATACATTAGATTGTCAAGTGGGGGCACAATTTGGAGCATGGCAACCAATGGATTAACCACCACGGTGATGGATTGTGAAGGCCATTTTGTCCGCCAAAACTCTTGGTGAGGCAATGTCAAATACTCTCCTCCATCAAACACAACCAAACCCTTCTCGCCTGCAATGCATGTGAAAACATCTGGAGGGAGGAAGTTGACCATCGCAATTGACAACCACGGCCATGGACATTTCTTAGTTTTAGGTTTTCGATTATACCCACTTATCCAATTTTGAGCCTCATTTACATGTATGACCATGGGGAAGTATTCATTATTCTCTTTGAGGAAACTTGGATTCCATGAGAGGTTTTCCATTGCTTGCTTGTTGTATCTTGCCCATGCATCACAACGTTCTTTGTCTATATCATAGGTTGGAAATATAAGAATGTAAGTTATATTAGAGATAGTTTTACTTTTTTCTTGATAGTTATTGCAACATAATTGCAAATATATAGAAATAAAAGTAGAAGAAGAAATTCTTGATGATTTGATTTTAAGAACTTTATTTAGATGTATGAATTGAGTTGATGATGGCTAACATTTTTTTTTAACAAGACAACAATTTTTTCTTTATAAAAAGAAAAAATCTAAAACAATGTTGAGGTATTTTTCCCCATTCCCCTATGGTTTCACAATTGTAATTACCTGTCAATTTACTAGAAGGTAGATAGTAAGTAATAGAATTTCTGTCACAAGTCCGCCAATCCGGAGGAGGTGCAAGATAATTTGGGTAAATTTTTGGTTTAGGTGGCCAAAGGTTCAATTTTTCAGTGGTGTTGCCACAGTGAATTTCAAACGGGAATGGGGTTCCTAACTCATGGGGGGCCAGGCAGTGGTCAGGAACAAAGCGCAAAACATTGGCTACATAATGTTTCCCCTCTGCCCATTTTAATCCCTTCTCAAAAGGAACAAAATGTTTTCCTTTAGCCAATTCCTCCTGAATAATCAATCCCACACCTCAAACATTTAACGTCATAAAATATTTCCTAAGTCAAAACAACAATAAAACTAAAAACTAAAAACTAAAAAATACAAATACCCACACTATTTTGAAATGACTTTAGCATATGAAATCAACAAAGTTATGCTAAAATAGAAGTCTAACGAATAGGATGGGTCGATCCAAACATCCCCTATTTAGAAATCGGACAGATAATTTGTTTTAAAAGGGGCAGCCACCAGCAAGGGAGGTCGGGGCACGGGCACCTTATCGTGATGTCGCCGGTGACCGGTCGCCGCGAGGGGGTGAAGCCGACTACCGACAAACGTTGACTGCCGGTGAGTCTCGTCCCAGTCCTCCGGAGCCAGCAGGTCCTGGTCGTGCTTGAAATGTCGGTAGCGGTGCGGCGGCAACAGCAGCTCTGGGCGCAGCTCCTGCTCTGTGGTCTCTCGCACTGCCGAGTCGCGCGCCCGTCCCGTTTCGTTGCCTCCTCGCGCACAGGTGGGCCATCGCTTGGGCGTGGCCAAATCGTTCAACGCGCTCTCCGTGTCTTCGATCTCCTGGTTCCAACGGCGCATGTCAGCCACCAACTCTGCGTCTAGTCTCCGCTCGTTCTCGTCGAGGTGGTGGATGAACGTCGCCCGTGGGGATATCCACTCCGTATCCAGGTAGTGCTCGGCGGGGTTGTAGGGGATCGCGGATACCATGCGTGACAGCGAGCGCTCGCGAACACGGGATTCTTTAGGCTGAGGTTCGATTGGAATGGAGGTGTCGGTGGGATGTCGTTTTGGCAGCCACTCCTCCTGCACCTCAAGCTCCGAATTCGTTGTTTGGGAATCGACATTCGCCGAGTGTGCTGGTGTTGCCATGGTTTTTTGTATCGGTGATGAGAACGTCTGTACTCTCCTGAACGTGTCGAACATTGGTAGGATATCAGCCTAACAAGATGGGGATGAAGACAAAAGACACGATGAGCTTAACCTATATTGTTTATGCAGATGCGGTGCTGAGTATGTGTTTATGTGATGTTCGACGCAATCTGGTGTAGGTCAAGTGCTGTATGTTGCTGTAATTTAATGTTGTCTTCGCAGAGGTTAATTTACAGATTTTTCGAATAAAAGTCATTAGTAAATAGAATTTACACGTTTTGCTGGCATCACAAGAAGGTCTCTGAGTGTGTTCAAACTCATCTCTGAATCGAAGGTTAGGTCCTAAATTTTTGGATTTTGTACCCCTCGGTTAGAGTATGATGCGGCTCGGAGCAAGGTTTCCGAACTGAAACTGTTCCTACGTGGAATAATGGTGCTCAATCATCGGGTTCATCTGCCTTATTTGTTGTTGGTGATGGTGCGTGGCACTGCAATAACTTTTTCAAAGTTCTGCACTTGGCCTGACTGGAAGGTCGAACCCAGCCATCACATGATGATATCCTGTCCTCCTCTCCAGCATGGGACTTATCCAATTTTGCAGCAGGTTTGGTGGAATCTATGGTTTGTTTGGAACCAAACAAACGTTCTTCACTTCCTTCTACTGACTTATCCATTGAAACTTCACTTTCTCGACCTTAACTAGGTCGCCGACACTGATAAACCTCCTTGGTTACCGATGTGCCTACCCATGATCCAGTTTGGCCAATCTAACTATTCTGATTTTAAATTATCGCGAAGCTACGCTGTAGATGCAAAATATGGTTAATGTGTTTCCCTTTCCCTCTCACAGGCAGCCTGCTGTACAAATTCACAGCCACCACAGCAGGAAGAGCCTTCCGTATCAGCAGGGCCACACCGGTGCTGAGAAAATCAGGGCACAATAAATCCTTTCATTGAAGTAGAAGCAAGCTTTGGGGCCTGAAAGGACGCATCCTTTCAAGGACCACCCAACTATCACATTTATGAGTGTCCAACTCAGCAAGGACAAGATGATGCAGGTTTTCCAGCAGTTTCCAGTTGTCAGAAGAGCTGAAGGTGAGCAATAATTTGCATTCGCACTTGAGTATGAGAGCGCGGTTCAGTGTGAGCTAAAGAATAAGTTAAAATTGCTATTGACCGAAAATAAAACCATTAATACCTAGGTATGCAGACGGCCCTTAAGTAGATGAGAATTGGTTGTAGGATGAAATTGTAAGGAAGAATTAGTTTTATGGTGATCTTCATGATTAACTTGATATAATTGCGACTTTCCTGATCTGCAAAGATGGTTTTCACGAGCACCCACATATTATTCTTGCTCAACTTGCAGGTCCACAATTTAGCCACCAAAATTAATGAATTAGTTTTTGTGCGTTCAGAAAAGTAGTCTCTGATCAAACGTTATGACCCTCGACGACAATAGTGATATCCACATGGTGACGTACAAGAATTGGACAAGGTCTAATTTTGTGTACAGAATTCCAGAAAACCCTGTGCATGCAAGGTATGACCTGTGACTCATTTTTGCTCAAGAACTCCTTGACTTCAAGGGATTATGAGTTTGGACCCAGATCGGCGAAAGGACGGTATGTATCAATTCGAAGGAAGACTCATTCCAAAGAGTAGAAAACCCAAAAAACAGATTGAGAAAGAAACAAGAAAAAAGACTTTTAGAGACGTCATTTCAATGTAACAAAATGTGAAACATGAGTGAAACCTTGAGCTTCAAACCTGCAACTACAGTGAGTTGCCTCGATCATTTTTCCATCACTAACAGCACTGAAGTGTACATAACAAGAAAGAAAAAGAAAAAAACCTTCTATTGAAGTCAGAGGCTACAATCTCAGCAGGCGTAGGCTCAAAAGTCGAACGTGTTTGACATTACATATGAGGGTTTGTTGTGGGAATTGGGTGAGAATCGAAGTTGACTACAGTTCCCCACAACTGTGGATAGTAACTTTGCTTTTGGTACTCCCGGCTGTAGTGCCCAAGTCATTCAAAGCCTCCAAAACTTCTTTTCCTGAGCACAACCACATGAGTTGCTTAGAGACATTGACATGTAAACCACGTAGCCTAATATTTCTAGCAATGACTGCTCGAAAAACAAATAGCATGTAAAGAATAGGGATACCTTCAACAACTTTTCCAAACACCACATTCTTTCCGTCCAACTCAGAGCAGTCACCCAGCGAGATGAAGAATTGGGTGCCTGACACAAAAAGAGAAATCAACATCATCATCGTTGGGAACTTCAGCGAGAAGAAAAAAATAGGGACTTCAGATTGACATCAAACTGGTCAACGACGACAAACTGCAGAGTGTATGCTATGCTATATTCCAGATGGGGTAGGCCAGGACCGTGCTATGTAGGATAATTTGCAAGTCTTCAACGAGTAAATGTGCTCCATTTACAGGTTGATTACCAATGTGATGCATGAAACTAGACAGTTGCAACAGGTGGCAACGTGGCGATGGGTACCACGACAAAGGTCTACTCGAAGTAAGCATGATAACTACATTTATTAGGGGTAATATATTGTCTTAGACTATAAATCACGCCCTTCCATACCGAATTAAGTTTCTCCCATGTATTGAGATAAGCCGCATTATTATGTTTCTTTTTATACATGAGAAGTACAGGGTCATCACATTCATGAGGTCGCTCGGGTAAAATGAGAATGAACACTAAGGGTATTTCCGCGCAAACGTTTTGAATAGCCTTCTACAACTTCTTGGTTTGAGTAACTTCAATAAGTAATGATTATCGTTTGTATGAGTGGTAAGGCACTTACCATTAGTATGAGGTCCAGTATTGGCCATGGAGAGTACACCCTTGCCTTTGTGCAAAAGCTTGAAATTCTCATCATCGAACTTCTTCCCATAAATTGACTTCCCACAATCACCACCCTAAGAACAAGGTACCAAGACAAAAAAAAATCAGTGCAACCACAGCAAACAGAATCTCTATGGAATGATTCCAGCTCCCATGTTTAGAGAAATGTAGACAAGGCACGATATATTTCCACAGCACAAGCGTGCAACACCGCACAGCAAATTCGAATGGAATAGATAATCATCGGATGCACTGAACATCCCTACAGGCCAAAAACTGCTGCTTCAAGTGACTGGAACCACGCTGATATACTCACAAACAGGCCTAACTGCTTCGGAAGAAGAGATATCTTAGGGAATTTGCAACTTGAGACCACAGAAGAAGTGTATTAAACCTCACCTGGGCTATGAAACCTGGAACAATACGGTGTATGGTAGTTCCCGCGTATGAATTACCATTTTCACCAGTGCACAGTTGTCGAAAATTTTCGGCAGTTTTGGGAACCTCGTCAGCTCGCAACTCGACCACGAGGCGCCCTATGACACTGTCATTGACTGCTAACTCAAGGTAACATTTAGTACCTTTGCTGCCTCCACATCCCATATCTTTATTCTAAATTAAATTCGAATCTATGCTGTACAATCTGCACAGGGAGGCAATGAGCGTATCCAATCAGCCATTATACAGCGTGATCCAGTTGGAATTCTTCCCTTCCTCTATACCACCTAATGAAGTATCCAGCATTCGGTTCAAGTATCCTTGTACTTCATTGAATAACACAAAAGATTCAGCATCTCTAACAATCACCCACCAAGTCTTCTCTTTTGTAGGCTTTATAGCATCATTGAATCTTTTCAAGCCCCACAACATATGAAAACTTTTGTGCAACAGCTTCTAAGGAGGAAAATGGAAGCAAAACACGAGACTAGGAAATTAATTATACACCCAAAGAGAACAATAAGACAATCAACGCATTGAATTTGAGGATAACAGACAACTTTAGGTCTCGTATGCTCATCCAGTATCAACAACCACCTTCACCTAACTTTTCCTAGACCAAAGCCGCAAGAGAACAGCATCCCTTCAAGACTGCCCAAGGCTACTCCGAAATCAACAAAGGTACTAATCCACGTTATCTTGAAAATCCATCTCGAGGACTTAGCTTTCATTTTGAAATGATACTAGAATGGCTACAGCAGCATTGAAGAAAGTGCAAAGATTCCACCATAAGACTATGCGGGGGTTATGTCCAACTCAATGCCACAGACGAACTGTCAAGCATTTGTTTGTTTTCTAAAAGATGAGTGCAGTCACCTATTCCAGAGCTACACGACTATTCTCCAATTAATCATGACGAGCCAACTGAAGGTACTTGGGATCTTAGCAGATGGGTGACGGACTCACCTAGATGCAATGTGATCACAAAGCCTCGCTGCCGCTGCATCAACCACCACAGATACCAGTCAGGGAAATGGAGTCAATGCAGAAGCCTGTACTGACTACGCGAGAGCAGCATTGAGCCACTACTAATTTCAGTATAGCAGCTGACAAATTCTGGCTTCATGTCATAGAGAAGCCCCAAATCTCCTTTAAATTGTGATGCATTCCTTCAAGTAATGACCCACATAAGCTAATCACACTTCACGACCTCAACTTCCTATCCTGCATTCTTCATCTGACCCTCACAACAGATCATAGCCCTGCCGACTAACACATGGACATCATCCGAAGAGGAAAGTGTGTTCAAACGCAACCATACGAGGCCAACCCATGCCTCAGCAACCAAAGTAGCAGCAGGAGTGAGTGCAGTTGCACATTGGGATTAGTTACCGTCCAAATTGACGATAGCTCAAAGTGAACGAGCGGCCTCGAAGCTGAACAACAACCTCGATCCAGGCGCCATGGCCTTGCCCCACCGAATCACTCACTCACTCACTCACTCCACCATTAAATGAAAAAACTGTCTCCCCGAAAAATCACCTCACCCCACCCCACCCAGCTATCTGGGATGCACCACAAGCTGTGTGATCCCACGGCACCCGCAACCTCAGAGAACAAGTGCGTCCAGAGGATCTCTCTCCCTCTTGCAAGTGCGGGAGAATTGTTCTTGGCCACACTGACGCAACCCAAAAATGAACACCACAATGCTATCACTGAGATCTCGTGATACCACAAAATAACTTGCACAACTGAAGCCCCAGGACGCGGCTTCTCCAGATCCAGAATGGGATACAGTCTTAAATTACAGGCTTAAAAAGGCAGATGAGGCGAGGCTCCAGACGGGCCAGGGCACCGAGAGAGAGGCCTGTAGGAGCAGCACAGCAAGCACTAGGCTGTCATCGCCATTACACCCCGGGCGGGACTGGAAGGAAGGCACAGGAGTAGCCCTCGTACAGGAGCGCACTAGTAGTGCAACTCGTGGACGGATGTTGCGTCTCATCTGTCCGCTTTTCGGACGAGATCTTCGTGCACAGCCAGAGGCTTGGTTCTTATTGGTGTTGTTATTGATTATTAGTTCTTAATTTTAACACCACCAAAGGGCTCAATCATTCAGCTCATGCAGCACCCTGCTGATGGGGTCAACAATTGGCTATCACCTGGCCTTCTTTCCTCCTACTGCATGGTTTGTCTTTCCTCACATGCTTGACGGTGTTTTGAACCCAATTTTGTTTCATGTGGTGAATAAAATCTTTCTGAGTACTTAGGAAGGTTTCCTTCCACTATGGGAGGTTCTGGAGATAAGAGTCTCAAGGTAACTGATGCAGTCGTTGATCGTTCTCATCGAATTGAACCATTCGTTGGTTTTTGTGTGTTTTTTTCGTCATTCATCATGTTCTTTGAATTTGAAAACTCATCCAGCAAACTCCGATGTATTTAAAGTACATCTCTGCTGATCAACGTTACTTACATTTGTTACATTAGACTCCGAGAGTGCTTGATGTGACTAACAGTGATTTTCAACATTGATTGCTTCTTCCCTGGAGGTTACCACTCAGGACACGTAACCTTTTTATAATTTGGACCACCTCGCTCGAGGAATTTCACATTAGAATTTGTCTTTTAAACCCTCTCTTATTGAGAATGATTGATCATTGACCAGGTGCGAGGAAGTCATTCAATGTGAACCAAGTTAAAACTCTCACGATTGAAGAGACAAAAACATTTTGCTCATTCTTGCATTCCAAAATGACTTTCGATTTTGATCAAGCTCATGCACCATATTCACAATATCTAAGCTCGATGGACTACAGTCCAGCTGAAGTACATGGTGCATCGATAAGACTGTAGCAGCATCAGGGGGCATTACAACTTTAAATAGTACCCTGAGGGTTCTTGAGCGCAGAAAAGAAACACAAGCTTATGACTTGTCAATATTTAACAGAGTAACTAATTCTCATAATCCCTCAATCACCAAGCTTAAAACATACAAGGGCTGCTGTTTAGATCCCTGCAGAAAAGCCACCAAATCTGAGGAAGACTAATCTCAGAAATACAGCCATATACACTAATTGCTCATACACTAAATATGTACAACGGACCTAGGTTTCTATATCTACAACTTCAGGTAGATTCAGAATGTATCATCTCTCCTCTAAATTGAATAACATGCATGTTTAAGAACTCAATTGGACTCCTGGAGACAGAAGATACACCCAAACTTGACCTGCAAGTGTGCCACAACTCCAATGTGTCATACTGATTCTTGAAACCTCGTTGACAGAGACATCGCCTTGCCTTCTCAAAGTCTTCACAGCTTACAGTGGTAGAGTCACACAAAGTGTGCTGATATTTCATCTGATAAACTACTGCTCAGGATAGCAACTTCCCGTTGCAAGGTGCAACTACTTTCCTTGCCTTGTCCCACGGTAATTGACCATTCGTGAAAGAAGCCACCTGTTGTGACTACGAAGATTCTGGCTCTGAAACACCATGACCCACAATGGATAGGAGGGGCTTGTAAGAAAAATTATTTCGGGAAAGACTCACTGCCCAACTGATTGCATTACAAGACCCGGCACAAAAATATGTTACAGTGAAAGACCTACGTTTATTGAAAACAGTCGACAAAGCATCTTAATAGTTGGATTCCATTTTCGCAAGAAGGATTATGACACACAACTTAGTAACAGGATCCCGTCATATAGCTGTACTAGATGAAAATCCACTTATGGAAGATCGGCTTATTTAACAAGCTTGAAAGTATATGCTGAATTCTAGTAGAGAAAAATCCAGAAACGTTACAACCCACACGGAAACTGGAACATTCTGAAAGACTGGTTACAGGTTTATGAAGAATTATCTACGGTTAATGCAACCAGACTCTTCTAGTACGCATGAAACAGAGGATAATGCAGAGATTGATTTACCTATTGCTGCTTGAGGTCGAAGTAGGCGCTTCATCTCCATCTTCACTCGAATCTTCCACATGTGCAGCTATGGCACAATGGCTGCGCACAATGGGAGTGGTGAGATATATGCTACGGACAAACTGAAGGTCTTCCGAATCAAAACTACCATTTTGAAAAAAACAAACAGTACTATCCATGAACAAGTTTAGGCATAACATTCTTACACGAACAACTAGAAGACTGACGAAAATGATTCTCGGTAATTAGCAGATAATAAACATTCTTTGAGGTTCGAACGTTACACAGGAATTAATTTTTAGGTTAATTTGTTTCATATGAATATCTAACTGCAATAATTTTTCAGAGTAATGACGACGGAGAACAAATATCTCTAAAAGGAACTGCCAGAGGATACTGAAGCCTAAAAGCTACCAAAACTACGTGCAGTGAGAAGACAAAGAAGGTACACCTGCGAACATTAGGAGGAGATCCATTCTTGATTGTGACAATACAGCGTTCTGACTCAACCATGTCACTCATGGAGTTTGGTATTACTGATGCCAGCAGTCCCGCAGCCATGCCATTACTGTCTCCACATAAACGAAAGTAACCGACTTTAGGATACATTTGACATAATTACCCGCTACCATACTGCTGGGAAGCTTGTGTTTATTAAAAGCATTATTCAGGAGATTACAATCGTTCTTACCTTGTTTGGCCCACGTTGCCTAGTGGATCTTCAGTTCTGAACAAATGTATACAGTATTTTAGCTATCAATTTTGCCATATAAGTTCCAATTCAAGCAATCCTACACTCCTCTCTTTCTTTTCCATACCATTGACACTGTTACTAGTTTCAGAAATTCCCCGAAAAAACATAGATCAGAGACTCTGCTCACAATACAATCAGCATTCCAAAGGTCTAAGTACAACTCTGCATATATAAGAGTGTGTGTGTGTGAGTGTGTGTGTGTGAGTGTGTGTGTGTGTGTGTCTATCTATATAAGAGAAACAGGCTATATAGGGGAAGTGACTTCTCATCATATTGAAACCTAGTACATATGAGTAGAGTGCGATGAATTCAAATTACCGAGGTTTCGAATAACTCCCCAACTTAAACACATGAATTGTACCAGAAGCACATGAAGCAGCAAGAAGTTGTGGAACTTGAGAAGGTGGCCCGAAGGACAAGGAGTAAATTGTGACAGGGTAACTTCCACGTCGGAAAGTGTGCACCTGCAAGTGATGGTTTGAACACATACATGTATCCATAAGGTTTCAACAAGCTAATATCAACAACATTATGTCACCACTATGAACGTAAGGAGCAATGACAAGTGTAGCACACTCTCATTAATGTTTACCTTGGAGGCTTGGGGTATGCTATGAACCCTGATTACTGTGCCTTGGTCAGAGGCTGTGGCCAGAAGCAAGCCATCTGAGGAGAAAGACATAGCTGCTAGGGGGGACCGATGTGCTTGAATCTGCCAAAAAGCACAGAACCGGTACATAATCTGATAGAGCTCAACTCTTTAAATAACTAAATAACTGCTGGATGTACACAAACACAAACTAGGAAAAATGTGATCAGGTGAGCATTCCTGCAGGTTGTCAACTAGCATGAAAAACGTTCCCTACAGGAAAAGATATTACTTTAGTATGTCAGCGACAATAAAGACCACGCACACATACTACCTGACAGACGGCATGGAGATCCAACGCGTCAAATACCAATACAGTCCCATTGGATGTGCTTGCCGGTAAAGCCAAGTAGCAGTTTTCATGATTAGGAGACAATGCACACAAGGCTGCATTGTATAAAATTTGCAGGAGTTAAATAAGAGATTAGTAGATGAAGACAACTGTGTCATCCTCAGTGTGAAATGTCAAAATGGACAGCCTCAAAACCTGGGTTTCATAACACAGAAGCCATGCTGAACATGTCTTCTTCTTATGTTTTCAAGGTAAAAATAAACGACCAACAATAACGAATAACAACATGAGGGACTGAATCCTTGTGTCTACTAGACCCTGCTTCAAGGCTCATTGTTAAGTAATTCATATTCTCAAAAGCAGAATTTTTATTTAATAAGACTCATTTGAAACCTACCTCGGGAATTCGAAACTGTGTCAATGGTGTGCAAGATTGTCAACTGACCAAGGTCGTGAATATACGTTTTACGCTCCAGTACTACCACCAATCTGCTCACATCGCATTTGTATTAGGAGAATGAAATGATTAATAAGCGATTTTCAAATCGATTGAGCATGGAATATGTTTCAATATCAATCAGGTTAGACACTCTTAGTAACACGGATATATTCCAGGTTCCCTGTATTCGCTTCAAATTGGGAAATTTTAAATGGATTCGAAAAAATCCATGAGTCTGTATGCGTAGCATGATAGTAGCTCGCAAGAAAATTTCTCCAAGGAGTAATGAAACAGGAAAGATTTGAATTGCGAAGGTTGCAAATATTAAATACCTTTTACGATTCATACGTACACATAGAATGGACGACACAAAGTTGAGCTCCGCAGAAAGTACGTCAGTGATGGTGTTGAAGACGCTCAGTCGCCGAGGAGAAAGCGCCGGCTGAATCAACGAAACAAAACACTGACTTTGTCAAGCAAAAGTAATTGATGCATACACTCTCCAAGACAGCTACATAAAATCTTTTACATAATCTATTAGTGGCTGCTGACCATAACAAAGAAATCAAAGCAGATGCGCACGCGCGCACACACACAAACCTGTTCCCCAGCACCAACAACCGCCACCAAGCTGGTGCTAAACAGCATCTCCACCACATTGATTGCTCCTTCAGCTGCGCACTCAATTCATTGTTTGAATTAAATTTAGTTCAAAGACATGAATAACCTTTACTATCCAAATTCATGACCATGTTCCAATCAACTGGATGAGAAGCTGTTATAAACTAACAAAACCGACACATAAATTCCAACAGAGTCCATTCCGACAGCAGGACAGATACTCACATCGCTTATAGCAGCATTGACAAGTGTCGCAATTAAAAATCTTGAAGCCATCTTGGGTACCAATCGCCAGACAACTAAGCGATCCCTCCACAATACCGACCTCGTGTCAGCAAAAAAACAAACTAATCCATACATTCCGAAGATTATTTAGACAAAACAACGAATGCACTCCAGTTACCCTAAAACTATTCATTTTTTTTCCCACGCGCCACCGAAACCCAACTCAAGAACTCCTCTCGAAAGCACAAAGTCTCACTACAGAATCACAATTCCCGTTCCAATCCTCCTCGGCGCCGAGAAAACGAGCTATCTCTCTACCCCAACCTAGTGGGTTTCAGCAGCTCACCAAGCTACTCGATACCAAATTGAATTAAGCAGTCGAGTAACAAACTAAAACTCCAATTCCAAACACCTTTTCAAACCCACCTCAATCTTTCTCTCTCTCTCTCTCTCTCTCTCTCTCGCGACCTCGAACGCTCAATTGAGGCAGTGGGAAACAACACGAAGAATCCACAACCATCCCCGCTTCTACAAGAGGATTCGGTTTGCACGCACCTGTTGTCTTGATTGAATGCGAGAGAAAGAACCCGGCGATCACTCGCCTGCAGATTACTCATGGCGCCGCACTGCCTCCCTCTCTCTCCCTCTCTCTTGCCTCGATTCTCCTTCCACCACCATAGATCCAATTACTCGACACACTCACTGCCGTTCCGACGTACTCTGGCTCCCAGCATCCCTCGAATTGCTTCGCAACAACTGCACGTCAACTAAAAAGAGGTCCGACCCATGATAGATTGTTAAAAAACGAAGGACCCCAAAAACGATTCCGCAGAAATGATCGAGACCCATCTTCGAATAGCGGCGAGTCAGTTTGTCGCATTCGTCAATCACTGCGCTGACCTCATCAACGTCCGTGTTGCTGCGTTCATTCAAAAGTAAAAGTTGCAATTGGAAGTGGAGGATTCCAATGTAAATTTTACTTGCTGGAATAAATATATATATATATATATATAATAAGATAATGTGCTTAAAATATAAGAGAGGAATATGTTAACACAATCTCTTAAATTTTGCAGAATCTCTTAAATTTTGCTAAAATTATTCTAAGATTTGCCAACTTTAAGCTTGACTAACTTCACTTTAGAATCATAGATTTAATTAACACAATCTCTTAAATTTTGCAGAATCTCTTAAAGAAACACCATTTTTATACAACTATTAGAGCATGTGCATTCCAATTGATTTCAATGGGTATTACCTATAATGTTTTATGTAAATTTCATGGTAATTTTTAATCTTCTACTATTACTAGAGGTGTTCATCATTACGTACATGAATTAGACAACTTAGGTTGTAATTTCTGATTTTTAGATTTTATAGTAAGGTGCCATCAATAGTGTATTAAGTACAAATCATGTATTTATTTTGACCACATTGAAAATATTAACATTTTAACAGAAAATATCCTGATATACTTTTTGTGTTTTGGTGTTTGCTTCTTGTATTGAATTTTTGTAATAACAATTGGGTCTTACTATAAATTTATTGTGATTTCAAGAAAATAATATTGATTTGGAGCAGAGATTTTGTATATTTGGTCTAATGGTAAAACTTTTGTAATTTTAAGAAGAAGGTATTGATGTGGAAGAGATAAAAACAATCATATCTATTCTAAAAACTTAAACGAAACAAGAACTTTTGCAAGCATAGTAATACCTAGCACATTACAAACAATACTAAAAAATGTAGTTAAGTGGCAGAATAATATTTTAAGTCAAGGCTCTGGTGTTGTAAGATTAGCTTGGAAGCATTTATTATATGATATTCCAAAGTGTTTTTTGAGAGGAGTATGAGTTAGTCACCAAAGAATTTTAGATAGAGTTAGGTACAAAGAGACAAAGGAAGGAATATAAAATTACTCAAAAGTAGACTTCTAAGATGAAATCCCAAGTTGAGCTCACAATGTCTTAATGACCCATATTAACCAAATTTTATGTGAAGGGAATTAGATGGTATTTATAAGCTATGACTGCATGGAGGAAATTAACATTTGTATAAAATAACAAAGCAATTAACTTTGGTACCACAAGAACTTACAATGGCATTGTTGATAAAAGAACAATTAAAAGAAGTTACACACAAAAATAAAGAAATTTCAGACGATGAGACTAGGGTCAGATTGAGTCAAGGTTTAGTAATAAAGAAAAACAAAAGAGATCCTTAGAGTAGAAACAATTAGAGATGCAACTTTTTTATTGTTAGTCCAAGGCCAAGAAATATTAGGAGGGGGTCTAAAGACCATGATTATTTTATACAAGTTATTTTAAGATTATAAAAGGTAGCTAAAGTGAAGTTAGTCAAGCTTAAAGTTGGCAAATCTAAGGAATAGAATGAAAAACAAATAGGACATTAAATTAAAACCAATAAAGTTAAAAAATACAAAGAAAAAATGATAAACTTGCCGGTCTTCTTCAAAAGCATTGCAATAAATAATTAAAATTAAAATTAAAAAATACCTTAAAATACTTATTAGAGAAGTAACTTGGGATTAAATAAACAATATGATAATTACATAAAATGATTATAATTAAATGATTATTTAAAATATTTTCAATTTCTAAATCTACAGCTTATTTTAAATAAAACTACTTTTTTAAAACTTTGTGGATTATTTTTTAATAGGAATCATTTATATTAGTTTAGAGAATGATGACTACCATCTATTGTTCTATTACCATGATGTATGAAAAATTTGTAAAAGAAACATAGAATAAAAATATAGAAAAATAAATAAATAATGTGTTTAATAACATGCAAAAAGACAAATAGATGCATTTAATAAGGGCTTGTAATTTGAAATTAAAAAATGTTCCAAGTAGTACTGAAGCTAACTAAATAAAATTTAGTTGGAAAAGATTTTATTTAAGATATATTACATTTTAAGTTGTTGTTATTGTTATTGTGTTTATTTTTTTATTGTTTATTTATTTATTTATTTAAATTAATTATGAGTTTTTTTATCTAGATGTATAAAAATATCAATGATAAAATTAGTAGTATTTCAATTTGTCTAATATATTCACATCTTAAGTAATTTATAAAAGTATTTTAAATACTTTTTAAACTTTAAACATTTTCTTTTCTTTTAAATTCTATTATATATATATATATATATATATATATATAGAATGCTGCTAATACTACCATGGTTATTGCTACTACCACCACAACTTGCCATCCACTCAATACAATTTTAACAATTGAAATATTAATTTCCAAAATTTTATAATAAAATCTTTGAACCAAGAATACTTTATTTAAGGCATTAATTACTTAATTGAAATTTTAATTCATTATTAAATTTTAATTCAATTCAAAATAGTTTTAAAAAATGAATTCATAATATTCAAAAAATATGAAACAATTTATTTAATGTTTAGCATGTGAAATGTCAAGAGCAGTAATTTAAAATATATATATATATATATATGTAAATTTATGGGAATTGATATGTTTTGATCAAGATTTTGATCAATTTTGACCAAGTTTTGGTCCTCTCCAACTTCCAACAATGGGATCAGGAAGTCAAGGAAGAAGTCCAAAATCCACGCCATGACAAGGAAGGAGGGAAGAGCTTGGAATAGGACAAGAAAGAGGGAGAGGGGACTAGGGACCAAAACCCAATCAATTTTGTAAAATCCATGGTCAACATATCAATTCTATAGATATATATATATATATATATATATACATACATTCATACACACTTATCAATCAAAGTACACTTTCCCTAGACTGACGAAGAAAATTCTTGGAAATCTATATTTTGATTCACCTAAACTATTGTTAAATTATAAAGCTGTACCACAGCACTTAAATCAAAGAAGCGATTTAGTCCATGTGTCGTCCGTGTGACAAATACGTGAGAATTAGTCCCCATTCTCAGTCGCTAATATTCTGCCAGGTTCCATACTTGGAACGCACAAACGACTCAAGGAAGGGAAGAAAAAAAATAATAATAATAATAATCCCTTCAGGATCCCGAAAGTAAACGTAAAAATACAAAAATAAATGTACGAGAAATCCATGCTGATGATCAAGAGTAACAGCATGTGCAATGTCAAGGGCAACAAGCTCTAAGAAGTGTCGCAATTACTATCTACAAGATTTGCCACCCGGAACAGAAAAAATAAAAATAAAAATAAAGATGACAGGAGACAGGAGACAATGAGTCCTAGTCCTTTGGTGGGGGTCGAGGAGCAGGTAAATTTACTCCAGATGCCCTAGCAGCATTGAACAGGGACGATGCCAATGCTTGTGCAAGCACTGCAGCATCAGGGACTCCCTGCTGCGACTGTTGCTGGTCACGCTGTTGACCAGGAATTGAAGGAGGCTTAATATCTGCCAAACTGGCAGCGATGGCTGCGGCGTAGTCTGCACTCTCATCAGCATCCTGGTCAGAGAAACTGATGGAACTGGTTCTCTGAGGGGTGCCCAAGCTGGAAGCAAGGGCTGCGGCTAAGTTGGCCGGACATATTTTCGAATCCGGATTCTTTTGTGTCGTACCCGCTGGTGAAGCTTTCGACTTGTCCGCCTGAGTTGAATCCTTGGCCGCTCTGCCACATTGAAAAGAGACCCAATCAGCATTGCCCCACATAGAAACATGCACAATCATACTGCCTTCCCAATCGTACAAAACATGTTCGGCCATAGCCCGAGAGCCCTTGGATTGATATATCTCCAAAACCCTCTATCAAACAAACAAAAACATAAAATAAAAACAAAAAAATGGATAGGCAACTGCACCACCGAGTTGGAAAACAACACTACCGGATATATAACATATCTTCCATGAGGTTAAACATGCAAAGCAGAAGGCGTTTCTTTCTGGGGTAAAAACGCATGGGCAACGCCTGAAACTTTACCAACCATGTGTTTGGAATAATGTTTTCAAAACGTTGAGATCATGCAACGTTTAACGTGCGAAAGAAAACTAATTTGTGGTCACTCCTCACAAATGTGTACTTGGATTACCTCAAATGAGATCGCTCTCAATGTCACTTCACAATCAGAAGCACGGAAACAAATTTTAAAATGAGTACACAAAGTCTATATCACCTGGTAATACGATCCGCCTCCTCTGGGGTGAGCCAAACTCCAACCTTGTCCTCGTTACCCCAACAAGCTGAATTTGGAAGAGACCCCCGAACTACAAAAATACTCCAGCCACTCATTTTCAACGTATCAAGGTAAGCTGCAAGGTAGAAATTAGACAGATATTCCGGGGCAGGGTACAAGCTGTTGAAATTGTACCACCTCTCCCCTACTCTCCGGATGCAAAACCAGTGAGCCTGCAATTCACCAAGACCCAAAATACACCAACCATCAAACCATAGCAGATTACACTAAACCTCCAAAGAAAATGTTAAACTTGATTACAGATATGAGAGTGTAATTGACCGGGTGATTGACTTCTCAATATATGGTACACAATTCAATGTCTTTAAAACCGATTAGGAGACTGTAAAGCCTGGAAGAACCTTCTCATCAACACAAAACACTACCAAACCTAATATTGAGTAGAAGAAAAAGTACAAACACTCTCACTCTCACTCACTCACACACGCACACCCACCCATTCTCTCTCTGTCTCTGTCACTCTCTCTCTCACACACAAGCACACACACCTGGAGATGGCAAATAAATGCACTCTGCTTTTGAGGGTCCGTGCGAGCGTCCGCGGCCTCCGGAGCTTCCAGAGGAACACACTGCAAGTTCCAAATCTGGAGCGCACGATTCAGCACCTGAATGCTAAAGTTCCCGTCGGCGTCCACGTTGGAGGAGCCCTCCGCCTTGTAATTGAGGTAATGGCTCGACCTGGAGCCACTCTCCAGCATCACCTGCTCCTCCTGTTTGTCCAATTCCTGCGCCATGGTGCCCAAGTCCACTTCCGAGAAGTAAGGTCCTTGCAGTACCGCGTTCACGCAATGCACCGCGCACAGTCGCGATTCTTGCACCTCGTGGTACAACAGCGACGGCGTCATCGCCAGAGAATCTCCTCCGCCTCCGCCTCTACTCCCTCCTCCTCCTCCTCCTACTCCTTCGCTTCCCTCCGCCATTTCCAACAAAACCCTCCTCGTGTCGACTATCCTCTCTCTCTGCCTACCACCTCCGAGCACGATCACACCCAAATTCCCAGACGCAATCGCATGCTTCACGAAGCTCAAATTACCGCCAGCGAAGCACCGCACGAGTGCGCTCCTCGGCATCAGAAGACAGGGATCGGTGCTTCATCCATTTGTGATGAATGAATCCATATGATTATGTCATTCATCCAGATATATTTGATGAAAAATATTTGGTGGATTAATGTTCATGTTCGTCGACTGAGGTCCAATTGGCCCTTTTTTTTTTTTTTTTTTTTTTTCTTTCTGTCTATTTTTTGTACGTTATGAAGAGGAGCATAGTACAATTTTCTTTTCCCGTTGTTGCGTTCTTAAAAATGGTGTGTAAAAATATGTTGCATTTCAAAGGGAAAAAAACTCGTGTGTAAATATTGTAAATGTTTTGAATCATTGTGTTCTTAGTTTTGGTAATAATTTGTAATAATTTTTGTTGTTGATAATTATAATGTGGGTAGCTGGCTGTTCACTTTTACAACACCTTCCCCTTTAAAATTTATTAAGAACTGAATCGCCTGTGATTAAAATGTGATCCTATATTTATTTGTTATGCAAGGCGGTTTCATCTGTATTTTAGAAGACATAAACTTACACGTGGTAATAATATAAAAGTTTCTATTACTATTTAAATTACATGATAACTTCATCTTTTGAATTGGTATTTCTTAAGTATTCTAAATGTTGGTGTATTGTTAAAAATATTGATCTACTTTGTGAATCCGATTTTTGAATATTTGTATTTAACAAGCGGTTACAACTTCCAAAAATGTAACATACTTTTGAACTGAACAATTATAATACTTTATTGAGCTGACATTTTATATATAATTTTTTTTTTTGAAGTTGTTATATTATTGGATTAGTATTTTTCAGCAGAGGCTATTTACAACTTGACTTATATTAGTTAAAGATATAAGCGAGGAATGTTTTATTTCTAAATCGTTGTATCTTATGTAAGTTAGCCAAGACGAGTAAAAATGCAAATGAAGACAAATAAAGATATAAGTTCAGACAAGTAAAGCTATGAGTTAAGACAAGTTAAAGATATAAGTGATAAATATAATAATACCAAAATGTTAGTTTCTTTTGGTACAATGTGAATATTTCATCCTATTGTTTGTTTTTAATTCTTTGAGAAGTATTTTGTTTAATATTATTAAAGAATATATGTAGGAATAATGTATTTATTAAAATTGAAACAACTATACTATTCATCCACCCGTTCAATCACGCATACTTTCATTCGTTCATTCATCCATCCATTATTAACTTGGAAACCAGCAGAGTGACGACAAAATAAATATTTCCCAAGAATGTCTTAACAAAAACATAAATGAATGAATGAAAACATAACCGAACGGAAAATGCGGAGTCTCATCCAACTTCCCTCCACGCGTCCAACAACGTTGGCTCGCCCCACGCGATGCTTCGAAAGCAAGTTCTCTCATTCCGTGCAAGTTAGGTTTAGGGTTTGAGGAGACCGGGGTCCAGGGTGCTGCTGCTATTCAGTGTCTGTTGCTCCGCATCACGTTCCGTTTTTTCACGACTCATTCGCCGGCCAATTTTAACGCCATCTGTCCCTTACATCAGGTATCTGCCGCTTGTAATCTTTGCTGACCTCCGCTTGTTTTATCTTGTCGCGGTTGTTCTCAGTCGGTTTGTTTTGGCAAGACTGACCATGGAGATCTTTCTTGTGAGTAAGTCGTTCTGGGGTTTGGTGTTGTTGCGAGGAAGGGGTTGTGAGAGTGGATTTCGAAGATAGTTGACGGAGTACTAGCGGAGTGAGTCGTGGAGGAGGGATATTGACCGATGCCTTTTTTCCAACGTTCCTGTCAGAGAGTTGTGTGTGTGTGTGGGGGGGGGGGTGTGTGTGTGTGTGTGTGTATGTTTTCCGGGGATTGGAAGCGTCGTTTGTAATATCAGAGGTTGTGGTGTTTCTTGGTGCAGCTTAGTTTCTCTTTATCAGGGACTTGAGGGAGAAAGAAGCCGTCGTTGCGGACTTTCTTAGAGTGGGTGAATTTGGAATTTGGAGCGTGCCCGTGAAGTGTAGTAGTTTCCGTGTCGCCTTGTGACGATGGTCGGCGCTGCTGTTTCGGCGGCTCCTCGATATGCTCCTGCTGATCCGACACTACCGCCCCCATGGACAGCGTTGGTGGATGGAAACACGGGGTATATCTACTACTGGAACCCTGACACAAATATTACACAGTATGATAGGCCTTTGCCTTTGGTAGGATCCGGGCGCCCTTTACCCTCTGGTCCTCCTCCTTCGTCGGTTATATCTGGAACAAAGTTGGCTGCAATTCCTAGCGGGAAAGATCAACCTAACGGGGGTTCGAGGAGCGATACTTTGGATGGCTTGAATAGCTACCATGCACAGACAGTCAGCCACATGCCAAATCAACCGAAACTGGCTGCAATCCCTGTTCCAAGAGGCTCTCAGGTTAGTAGCCGCACTCTGGGTCGCTTGTCTTTGTTCTTTTCTGGTTCAAGAGTAACATAACTGAATTCGTTGAAGCACGTTGATTAGGGCATAATTGATGTTCCTTTTAACAGAATTGACAAGCGCACGCACCTGTATTCACGTCCTGCGTCCATTTCCCCTCTTCGTACAGTCGGTAGCGGTTTTGCGAACTTGAAGCATGTGCGACTTTTTTCGCTTAGAGACATGGGAAGAAGTGCGAAGGATTCTAGCAAATTTGGTCTATTCCGTCATCTAACGAATGCTTTTTACTTGTGCAGTCATCAGTCAATCCGAGTATGTTCCTTCCTGCCAGTGTCTCAGTGTCGGGATCTGCTCCTCCTGTGGGAATGGGATTATCTGGAGGTCAGAAACATGGTGCGGGCGTTTATGATGATGCCGATCGTGATGGTTATTACAAGCGTCCAAGAGTAGAGGCCTATGCAAATGTCCCCACTTCAGATATCGATTCTTACAGAAAGCTTCACGAAGTGTCTGCCTTGGTTAGTTCCCTGACATAGCCTGCTTTAGCATCTTTGTTCGAAACATGATCCATTATTCAAAGCTTACTATCCATGGAAAAAGAATGATGGGAATGAATAGCTCGGGTTCTATGTTTGCAGGGAGAAAATGTCCCTGCTCCTTTTCTGTCATTTGAAGCAGTTGGACTTCCACCGGACATGCTCAGAGAGGTATTGTCAGCATTCTTGATGTTCTTGATTTTTGTGTCATTAGTCGCATTGGTTAAGTCTCACAAGTTATTTCATTGATTAGGATCGGAAGGTTCTTGCCAATTCTGTGTGGTTCGGTGTCTCGTTAGGACCTTATATGTCAATCATAAGCGTTATGTTTCACATTCTAACGAAATGTGGTTCTTGGTGTTGGGCTCAAGTTTTTTTTTTTTTTTTTTTTTTTTTTTAAATTTTTAACTTGATTTTTTCTTCTTTTTTGATGTAGTCGTATTTGATTTGTGTGAATACTGTTGGTGGGTCAAACTCACGGTGGCAATTATACTGGGGGCTGCTGCAGGTGCGATATTTGCTCTGCTTGGAGCTTATGTCGTACACTGCCCGCGTACAGCAGACTGTAGCACACATCCTCGTTGTGAGGCCTGCGTGCATCTAAACTGAAACGAGAGGTGGCTTCGTCACCGCCTCAGATGGCTGTTGTCAGCCGTTGTTTCATCGCTGCGTGCTTGGTGTCCTTGCCACTCGACCTAAGATGATCGAGGGGTGCCCTGCAGTTGGCCTGGTGTTAATGCTAGCAGGCAAACATGCAGCTCCCTCCTTTTCTCGGGATAGTTAGCTACCTACATGCTGTGCTTTTTTCATCTAGTCTATTGGGATAAATTGTGAGTGCTTGAATCCGCATTTGGGTGGTTTTGAAGCATTTTTTTTTCACGTATTTTTTTGTATCACGCATTTGACTTGAACAGATTTAGCACCTGCCACAAGTCATGTGGCTATTCCCTCTTTCTTTTTTTCCTGGCTTCTTATTTTTGCCTCTCTTACAGATACAAGCGGCTGGTTTTAAATCCCCCACGCCAATTCAAGCTCAATCTTGGCCAATAGCCATGCAAAACCGGGATATTGTTGCAATTGCGAAGACCGGATCTGGTAAAACTTTGGGTTATTTGATACCAGCCTTTCTTCATCTCGAACGTCATCGGAATAATTCAAGACTTGGACCAAGTGTTCTCGTGATAGCTCCTACTCGTGAATTAGCTACACAGATTCAAGAGGAATGCGTGAAGTTTGGAAGATCCTCAAGGATTACAAGCACGGTAGGTTTTTGGTTGTTTTTTAAGCTAATTTTTTTGTGCTCGTTTCTGTCGCTTGAAATGTAAGTTGTATCTGTTTGCAGCTATTTGGGACAGTTGTCAGCATTTCTTGGGTTTTACTTCAAATATTGTATCAGATCCTGTTGTAACTCTTAGCTATATTTCGAATAAATCTTGAACCTATATCTTAAGCACGTCTAAGATCCAATGCGTATGCAGTGTGTTTATGGAGGCGCCCCCAAAGGTCCTCAGTTGCGAGACATCGAGCGGGGAGCTGATATCGTAATAGCTACTCCAGGGCGTTTGAATGACTTTTTGGAAGTAAAGAAAATCAGTCTTCGGCAAGTGTCTTATCTCGTATTAGACGAAGCAGATCGTATGCTTGATATGGGGTTTGAGCCTCAAATTCGAAAAATTGTGAACGAGATTCTGTCACGACGGCAGACTCTCATGTATACTGCTACGTGGCCGAAAGAAGTACGCAAGATTGCAGGGGATTTACTTATCAACCCTGTCCAGGTCAACATTGGGAACACAGATGAGCTTTCTGCGAACAAATCTATTACTCAGGTTTGAAACTGACCACCAGGCTTCGAATTGATGATTAGTTGGGTGCTGTGGTTGTTCCGTTTACCTCTGCAGGTATTTAAGCATCTATTGAAGTCCGATGTTTTGCTTTGTCTAACCCTTTAATGATCTGTTGGTGGCAGCATGTGGAAGTGGTTGTGCCCTATGAGAAGCAGCGTCGACTAGAACAAATATTACGTTCACAAGAGCCTGGCTCTAAGATTATCGTATTTTGTTCTACCAAGCGCATGTGTGACATGCTCTCACGCAATTTAGGCCGTGACTTTGGCGCAGCCGCAATCCACGGAGACAAATCGCAAAGTGAACGGGATTTTGTTCTGTCCCAATTTAGGACGGGAAGAACTCCTATCCTTGTTGCGACTGACGTGGCTGCCCGAGGGCTTGACATTAAAGACATCAGGTGTTTACTTCTCCCTTAAATTTTATTGCTCATTATGCTTACCCCATTTGTCCATTATGGTCATTAATCACTCCTGACTTATGATTGCGTGTGGTATTGCTATCAGAGTTGTCGTGAATTATGATTTCCCTACGGGAGTTGAAGACTACGTTCACCGGATTGGACGGACAGGTCGAGCTGGTGCAACCGGGCTTGCATATACATTCTTTTCTGAACAGGATGGGAAATATGCGAAGGAACTTATTAAAGTACTTGAAGGAGCTAACCAGAAGGTGCCTCAAGAACTGAAGGACATAGCGAGTAGGGGTGGAGGGATGTTCAAAAGTCGCACGGGCAATCGTTGGGGTGGTGACTCTGGTAAAGGGGGAAGGGATGGTGGACGAAGCAGCTATGGAGGAGGGCGTGGCGATTTTGGTGGAAGAGGTGGTTTTTATGGTGGTGGCCGGGATGGGGGCAGGTTTGATAGCCGGGATCGCTATGGTGACCGTCTGCCAGACCGTAGTCATGACCGATACGTCGCACCGGGCGGGGCTAGATATGGGGAGAAGGACAAAAGCAAGAATCGCAGCCGCAGCTACAGCCGAAGTCCTAGTCGGTCCAGGGCATACAGTCGCAGCAGAAGCCGCAGCTATGAGCGCTACAGTGACAGCAGAGGAAGAGATCGTAGCAGATCCCCAGCTAGTCGTAGATCGTATTCCCCGGACGGAGGGCGGGGTGGACGACGATAGAATAGCCACGCTATATGTAAATTCCTGAGAAGCTTTAGGCAACTTTTCTTTGTTCCTGTGATTTAGAGATGATACATGTTCTTCACGCTCCCTTGTTTTCCTCGAATGACGAGAGAAAACATTGTAGTTTACTTAGAAATGCTGCCATTCGGTTTATGTGGCAGCAGTAGGAATTCACTGCTTCCCTTGCCATCTTCGGAAGCCATGGCATAAATTTCAGAGCTTCTTTCACTAGTGGCTCGCAGTTTTCCGGACCTCATGCCTTGTCGCCATTAGCATTCATGGACTTGAATCCATTCGGGGTTCCTTCAACAGTCTTCAAAGATATAAGGTGTATGCAAGGAGCATCATCTATTACCTACTTATCATGTGATTTTTGTATTTTGAAGGGTGCTAGTAGCAATGTCTTCGCTACAGCCCAAATCATACTCACCAGGGATTGCAGAAATGTAATTCAGCGATCAGCACTTTAGCTTCGGATTTGCTGCTGCTGTAGGAAACCCGTTAACCTAGCTACAATAATTGGATTCCTTAATTGGCTTGCTAGGATTTTGTCTGTTGCTTGTGTATTCTTAAATACTGAGATTAATAATCGAAATCAAACTTTTATTATTCAGTTTTTACCACGAGAAAATTGCACCAAATCTGCCTTGAAACCTTCGCTTCGATGAGAGTATGTTAGCTCACATTATCTCGTTCCTAGTATTCAGAAGTAAAATTTGTGTCTGTAGCATGATGGAATTGCTGTGAATACGTGGAGAGGATGTGCAAGTCGTACGCATACATCCTCCACTGGAAACTATCTTTCACAGATTTTGGGATCGGTCCACTTCTATTTTGTACAAATTGCAGTCTAATCTTTGGAAATGGGGATTATCGAAAGTACCCACGTGGAAACAAGCTATTTTTGCAGAACACATTTCTCCTTGATATAAAGGTCTAAGAAGATTAAGGAGGTTGTGAGGACAATATGGATCCAAAAAAATGAATTTATCTTTGAACATGCGGTATGGAGTGACCTCCATACCAGAAGTTTAATTTGGAGGGTTTAATAAAATATGGACGTCTTGAACAAAAGCCAATTCTCCTCAATAAGTGGAAAAAATCTTGGATGGTTACAAAATTAATGGACTTTACATTACAAAAGGTAATTAAATGGAACTTTAGAATACATTAATGTGGTCTAATAATACATAAAAGTGTGGATTTGAATAGAGAGCAATTGCAATCCTCATCAAGTAATATTTTTAACTCTGCCTCAGTGGGTATCAAGAATTATGCAGTCTCTTTGTACCTTGTTTCACCATTTCAATAGATTGGGTGTATCTTATTTTTGTGTCAAAAAAAGAAAAACAAAAAAAAAAAAAAAAACGAAGTATTTATTCATAACTTCTTGTAGCCCTATCTACAACCAAGAAATAGAACATATACAATTTTTGGTATGATTAAATAAGATGATTCATATATTTAGAAAATTATTTTCAGTGGTTACAACTTGTTTGGTTACATTTTAACACTGTTCAAATAGTGTAAAATTGGGTGATTTGTTGATTTTAGCATGTGCTTATGTTTCAAAAAAATGTAGAAGAGTTTTAGTTTCTTAACCATGAGATTGTAGTTTTGAAATAATACTATGTAAACTGTATATAATTTATAGAGTTGAGTGCCACATCTTTTCTTTCTAAATAATTTGATACAAAAATACATCGTGATTTTGATTACCAATTCAATTTCAGTATATCAATTTATCCATGGCTACCAAAGAACTTGCATTTCTTTTTATACACTGGCTTTCTTGCGAATTAATAAAACTTATTTAAATGTGACTCATATTAACTATTTTTAAACTTATAAAGATAAATATTATTGAATTTCTATAAACTTTATATCATGTTAGTTCGATATTTGAATTATCCGTTGCATCACTTACTCTATAATGCATCACCAGAGTATGCAAATGAGTTAAACCACATTTTAAATGAATTCAGATCAGTCAACTTTCTTAGCTATGTCAAATGTGACACTGAGCTTTTGCAGTTGAGAAATGTACATTTCTAATATACTTTAAATTCTTCGAAAGTATCACAATCATGTTTGAAAGCATGAAATACATACTTATAACAATCTTAAATATTGGTAGATAACTGTCAAGTTGAAGAGTACCTCATAAATTCAAACGCAAGCAGATAAACATCTTGGATCACATTGCTGTCAATCAACATGCTTTGCAGCTGGCGATGTGTGGAATCGTACGACACTAGGTTTTTCATTCTATTGATGTCCACACAATCCACACAAATGTCTCCAAAAATTACCACCTACAGTTCCTACTATTCAATGCTGTCAAGACTGATGCAGATTGTCCCATCCCAATCAAGGTACCGCAGTGGTGGATTAGGACCATGAATATCCTTCTTGGTGCTTCCACGAGTCACAAGATTGGCGACAAAGCTAGATCACAAACCTTAACTGCATATATCTCAACCCAATGTCAGTATTAAGAATAATGGAAAAAAATAAAATTAAACACACACGTCTTCAAAGTTCTGCAATTTGATTGTATAACTGCTGGCTGCGTCACAGAATGCAGCAACGAACAGAGAAGAACAACACGTAGCAGCCGGCGTTTACAGGAGATGCAGATCAACTCGTTATCCATCTACTGAATGTTTTTCCAACTGCACAAGGAGAGTCTCACGACTATTGATTTCGATTGGTCATAACAAAACCTATCAAAAGCTTCGAACGCATCTTTGGGTGGTGCTGGTTGCGGTATTATGTTCACCACCACCATGTAACCCACCAGGGCGAAAATCAGGACTCGAATTTGGTCATAGTAACGTCCGTTTACATCATGTTAGCTTGTCTCGTAACATACCTACTAGGTGTAGGGGATTTTAAAGCTGCTAGAATCAAAAACCTCATCCCTGATGTCATCCCAGCTGGATTAGAACTGAAGACCAGTCCCTGGGCCAAATTTCACGTGCAGACATGCTCATTTACTACGAATTAGGAGGTTGTGGATTTCAAGAGTCAACACAAGTAACTCGGAGCACAGCTTGGGCAGTGACAGCTGGAAGACTATTTAGACAGTACTGTTCCCAAGGATCTTGCTTTGATGCTGGAACTTCACTTTCTGGCAAATCCGAGTGACTGATATCTGGGGGATTCTTCTGATACACAACATGCAAGTGAAGTAACAATTTACGAGCGGCCTCTCGAGCTTCTGGGAGCCTGTCGTTTAACTGCGCTGCAGCAATCTTTAACAAAGACTCGAGCCCAATCTGCTCGACGTCCTCAACCCCCTGTCGTCATTTATAACGTTCGTCAAAAAAAATGAAAGACATATCCAAGATAACTGATCATTTAGCAAATGACACTTTATAATACAATAGCGAGAAATATTAACATGCGCAGGTAAAATTTTACCAGTCTTGATGCTGAGTTGTAGACACACACAGAGGCTTTAGCCCGTACTTTTGGATTGAAGTGCTTAACGTAGGGCTGTAACTTTGGTAACATGGCTTGAGGAGGAATCCACATCGTCATGACTTCGAGGGTTCTTTCAGCTTCTTCACAAACAAAACGTTTGTCTTGAGACGCCTTCAACAGGAGTTGCAACAGCTGTAGGCACACTATTCCGTGTCAAACTTCCAAGTGAGACTAGAAGCAACGTAACTGGCAATGCACTCATTGACAAATACAAGGCAAGGTTTTTCCTTAAACCAAAAACTACACTGGAAATATGGAGGAGGCATGTGTGATATGGTTGTTAAGGGGAAATTTAAAATGAATGCGGTGCCAAATCCCCACTATACAAATTATGACTGCAAAGTAATATGAGAGTCCTTCAATGACCGTAATATGATAAGATTACACTGCTGAGGAAGAAATCCAAGTCAATAAATCATGACCATCATTTTCATAGACTCTAGAAAGCGGGGGTTGAAAGCATGAAAGTACCAGAGGATCCAAAATATCAAGCAAACTCTCGCGGTAGCCCTTGAAAATATCTGCAGATGCCATTACAGCCGTCTTACAAAGAGCACTCCGTGGATTCTTCAGGGCTTTCGTCACCGACGCAACAACTTCACCTCTACCACCGCAAAACTTCGTGAGAAAACGATTTGCTAACCATGTTTACATGAAAGAAGAAATATCTTCGCATAGTCATAAATAGATTCTGTAAATGTGGCTTAGAAAAGAGGATTACAACGCATACCGCAGGTACAGAACAAGCACACGCATCAATCAATATCCTATCAGAGAAGCTAATCATAAAAATTTCACGAAGAATCTATTAGTTCTAGAAAGATAATTGTGCTTACAAAATAGGCTGCATCAACTCTGGGTGAAAGATAGCCAGTTGCCGAACACTGGTAAGAGCCTCGAAGACCACCATCCATTCTTTTGAATCGAGCCTTTCCAGCAGTGTCTGGAAGATGACGACAAACCATTAGATCATTGCTGGCGTCACAAGAGGTTTCAAAAGGAATGACCAAGCAGGCTACCATACACGAATTTTAAAAGGTGGCGATTCAATTTATAGAGGCCAATTGGCTCAAGACATGTGAGAAAGACAGAGAGCGAATAGAACCATGTTGCGACCAACATCATCCCCGTCCCGGAATGCACAAAGGTGTATACTCAAGGAGATAGATGACGATCGAAGTGGATTCGAAGCTACTACAACAAGCTCTCCAGAGTGTGTCATCCACACACTCGACGATATTCAATAACTACTGATTTTCTGTGGCATCCAAAGCCTGGGAAGGTCCATGTACGGGAGAAGGGAATATAAAACTTACTTGAAGTTGAGTGTCGATATTGCTCAAGTCTTTCAAATCCTCAGATAGAACGTACTCCACATCCGCCACAACAGGTTCTCCCGAAGATTCAGCAGCAGGCACAGAGGTGGACTTCGAGACAGTAGCCATCGCCTCTCCATCGGAAGAATCCGACTTGGCTAACATCATTCAACACTACAGAAATCGACTCAAGCTCCTCTGTCCTGAATGCAACGTCGCAAAAAAAACACGCCCCTGCACTACCTAACCAAAGACAGCAACAAGCTGCAGATCGTCACACATTTCGTCCCCGTCGTTCGCAAAACGAGGACGGAGCTCACTGACTCACTACCACCAACTGCAAGGCAATCACAACTAGCTAAGCCATAGAAACTAATCACAAGCGCTTCCACCGACGCAAGAACAACATCCGGCTCGACTCACATTGCGCAAAACAAGCGCTAAAATACAATTCCCCTTCGTCATGAACCTGTTCAGAGAGGGTTTGCGCACCTGAACTACTTCAGCTGCGATGACGCTCCGATGGCGCCGGGAGAAATGCGAGAAACAACCGCAACCCTACGGCACGCATCCACGAGACAATGCGCCAGAGCATCAGTGCGAAAAGGAAGCGCGTCCGCGAGGCGACAACAGCAAAACGCAAGCAAAAGGATTAAGCCAGCCCTGCAATGCACACCCTAAGGTAAAAGGCAAATAGAGCGAGCGAGGGAGCGAGGGAGCGAGGGCGGGGGCAGAATCGATGGGAGGGGGGGGGGGGGGGGGGAGCGGCAAAAGACATAAGCCTAGGCCAGTTACAACGACGAGCATTTTGAATTATTGGTCCAGGTGGACTAGTGTCCCTACCGGGCTTCTCATTGGCCAGACCCCTTGCACAGCCAGGGCGGACTACGTACCCAGCTGGTCCTTGGCATTGGATGAACAGAAACCAATATTCATCCTCTTCGCACCGGAATTTTTTGATAAACCCTAGACTTTTAACATTTTCTTATTGTTCATATTATATATATATATATATATATATATTTTTTTTTTCAAATTCAGTGATTTAAATAAATAATATTCCTATTAAAATACATACTGAAAATGGAAAAAAATATCATGAATGTGTGTCAATCTGTGTGTAATTTTGTGAAAGACCAAGTTAATTGCAAAATTTTAATTTTATGAAATTTTCACCAATTTTATCAAATTCAGATATCCTAAGGACAACTAGGTGGCTAGATTAATTTAACAGTACCACAACTTTGAAGGAACACAATTCCTTTGCATCATCTTGAATTAAAACAAGTGAATAGTCCAAAGTATGTTTGTAGAATGCAATCATGTGTTTGATAATATAGAATTGATAAGTAGTTAAATTTGATTGCATTCATGAATCTTACATTCCTATTTGTAGAAAACACTCAAATACAAAACATGTGGTCTTCTCATTATTTACAAACAACCAATTGTGGAAAAAAAATGCTTTGGAAATTGTGTAGCATATTAGTTTGTAATAGAATCATGCTACAATTGACCCATGATAAATTGTTAGTGTAGTGGGGTACCATGACTTATGAACAATATTGACTAGCTCTTGATGTAGTTGGCAGTTGACTAAACAATGAATAAGGGGGCAAGTATCAAACCAGTCCTGTTTGTGCCAAATGCATGTATTTAGAAACAATGTTGGTAGGATATGCATGCACTTTGAGGTGCCATTTTAGGATATATATATATATATATATATATATTAACACAAATAGCATGGTTGAATTCAGGAAATAAGTGATCTTTGTGACATTGTTTATCAATTAGAAAATTTGTATTAACTCAACCATTAACTTTGAAAATATTTGGCATATATATACATGATTGGTGCTAAGTAGTTTTCACAAAGATTTTGGATGTTTGTTATCACCTGTCACAACATGTAGTAACAAAATAGAACATTTTTTTTTGAAAGGAAATTATAAAAATTTTAGAAAGAAATAAAAATAAAAGAACAACATCAAAGTAAGTGATTGTGTGTCTTCTTAACACCTTTGCATACAGTATAATTAAATAGCATGTGAAAAACTTTGATTCAGTTTATCTAGTAAAAAACCAGAAGAACTCAAATAAAAGAGATGTATGTATGTATGTATGTATGTATGTATAAGTAATTTCCCCACTTTCCATCACAATCTTTCATCATTATTATTATTATTATTATCAAATATTATTATCAATCAATATGTTAATTTTTTTAAAATACATATGTGTCTATATTTAAGTTGTTAATGAAATATCAATTATGAAATAATGAAATATCAATTATGAAATAATGAAATATCAATTATGAAATAATGAAATGCAAAAAAAAAAAAACTAATTGATTTAAATAAGGTTTACTTCAAGGGATTATTATATTAAAAATCACGCCTACTCTAAAAAGGAATAAAAATGTAATATATTAATTTATACCACACAAGATTCTAGAAGACTTATGATAAACAATGAAAATTACATTGATCTTGATTTGCTGAGGGAATGACTTCTATGGGGTTTTCAATACATTTTTATTTATTTATTTGATTTTTCGTCAATTTTTGAAATGGATGCAAAAGCCATTTTTTACTATACATATAATTTTATAAATTATCCACGATTATTTTTAGATATTCTAAAATACTATGTTTCACTCTTAGAATCTTCTTACAAAAAATTAGGTTACATTTCTTACTGGAGTTTTATCATAAGAGGCTTCTTTCAGTAACCTAGATAACAACATTTAAGATTTTAATGTGGAAATGCTAACAAAAGCATAGTTGAAGTCATTATTTGTTTTGGTATTTTTCTTTTTTAGTTCAACAATCTTGTAAACTGCAAATCTTCATGTAATGTTGTATTGCATGTTATAATAATATTCTAATCAACTGAAAAATAATCAAAGATTCCTAATGTGAAAAACTGCAATCCAGATGTTGTAATGTGTTTGAGTTGGAAAAATACTTGTTGCTGTTGTTGGTCTATTTTATTAGTTTTATTATTAATTTCGATTTTGTTGTTAATGTGCTGCTAGTGATTAATTTAAAATAAAATTTAATGAGATGTTTGCAGTGGAGATGTAAGTGAAACTGGCCATACATACTTTTTTATGTAAGTAAAATCATGCCAGTTTCACTTACAGTAAGCATGATTTTACTTTTTTATTTTTAAAATATTGTCATTATATACTAATTGTTTTTCTTTTTGTCTTTTTTTCTTTTTACCAGCAGTAACAACATTATAATATTATCAAAGGTTGCAGTTTGAAATCACAACTTTCTTTGGGATTTAAAATGGTGTTGGATTTAAATATTTATATTAATTTGTGTTTATACTTTATCATAAAGTAAGATTACACTATCACAGAGAGTTATCAGAAACACTGTATGCATTGTTTGTCATAGGAGACCATTTATGAAGGACTTGGTCATAGGTATGTGAAGGATGAAGTGCTCTGCTGAAATATTTAGCTCTTGCACATTAAACCTAAATATATCTTCATGTGTTTAGAACACATCATTTATTATTTTTAGAACAAATAATAAAAATGGAGAAGTATCAATGAGTCTAAATTTTGAATTCAAGTTTGTTTGATGAATGTTTTTGTGAGAATTTGACTAACCAAATTTCAAAAAAATAATTGCATGACACTCACTAAAGAAAGTGCCTACAATAAAAATAAAAAAACGAAATAGGTACAAGGAAACAGAGGTAGGAATTTAATGAGCAAGAAAGACTAGATCCACCCAAATGTGTGCAACATAATGAAGCAACCATCATCACTTTTGCTTTACAAATCAATGTCAATTCTATGGTTAGGCTACTTCTTGAAATCCAATGCTTCATGTTGGGGGCTCTTGTTTGATGACAAACAAAAGGGAAAAAAAAACACTGCCAACAACTTATAAACCATGACTCATGAACTTCATGACCTTTATCAGATTGAATATTTATTTATTTGTTTATTTATTTATTTTTGCTTGGCATATGTGAAAAACACCAAAATCTAGTGTTGCTGATGTGTTTGATATGGTTCAACTACTCTGAATTTGCCCTAAATTTCTATTATTAATATCAAAGAGGCCCACCTTTACCACTGGAGATATGTGGCAAAATTAATGTACACCCAATTTGGGTACATACAATACCATACAAATGTTATAATGCAAAAAAAATAAAAAATGTGACTTGTTGTTAATAATTAAACACATCTTTTGAATTTTCATTATGGAACATGAATTATAAAAAAAGAATCAGATGTGATTGTATAAAGTATTTAGCCATATTAGTTAAATAATTAACATTTTGTATGGGACTAAAAACCAAAAATAAATTCTAAGATCTTAGTTTAGTCTAAATCTAAGAGGAATACAATTTTTTTTAAGAACTTTATTATAGAACATAAAATTACTTGACTATTATTTTTTTAAATTACACATTGTTTTACAAAGTTACACATTATTTAGACAAAGTTCAATTGACTTGTGAGGAGAAACACATTCAAATCTTAGCTATGTAAATTGCATTTACCATGTTTTTGGTTATTTAAATTCATTTATTTATAGTTTAGATATTTGGTATTAATTTTTTATAATAAAATATGTATTTAAAATAAATAGTATGAAAAAAATTATGAAATTTTTACTTCTTAGTAGATATCACCCAACAAGAATTTAATTCGATGAAATTCACATCAAACTTCATTTAATCTATTTGTATATTGGACTTCTTAAGTTGACTTTATTAGGTGCAGTCATGCTTACATTAATTGAATAAAGGATAAGTCACGTCTTAAGCATTTTAAAGAATTTTGTGTAAACTTTTTGTATATAAGAAATAAATTTATCATGAGATTTTTTTCAAATTATATATATGTTTTTATTTTACATTGTGATATTTAATTGTTATTATGTTTTAGATCTATTTGTCTTTTTTGAATTTTAAATTAAAGTTAGAAATTTTCTTGCTTATATATATATATATATATATATACTAAGAATCTGAAGTTGTCATTAGTCTACAACGTCTTGTTAAAGAAATTTCACATAGATATTGAGACATATTTAAATAATATTTTTAATATAGTTAATTAAAAACAAAAATATTATTTAAATATGTCTAAATGAAAATTTGACCCAAGCATTTACTAAATTAACTCACCTATTCTTGCCATCATCAAAAAATTCTCAACTGCCAGATCTGCGTTGGTTGAAAACCAATAAAAAATTGGTTGGAGCTTCAACCAATTATAGTTGACTAACTTCTTATAGAAATTTATTAAGTGTTATATATATATATATATATATATATATATATATATTCAATGTGCATGTTTTGTTCCTGTGTACAATCATAGTTTCACAATTGATTTTCTCATTATTAATTTTTTTGCTATTTGTGATTAATATTTAATTAATATAATATTGTATTTTGGTTAATGACTTGAAATAATTCTCATCGATTTGCATGAATTTTTGTTTTTAATCACATATCATGTATGCTTTGATCAATATTGCATTAATAGATATCATTTAAAAAAAATGAGCTTGTTTAAATATAGAAAAATAATAACATGAGCCTACAAAGTAAGTTTTAAAAATTCAATTTCAAATATTTGAAACAAATAATTTGGTACTCAACTTTTACCAATGAATTAATTTGGTTGACAAAGCATTGAATCCTTCACTTTGTGGCATCAAATTGCCAAATATGCATGAAGGATTTATGCAATTTTGATATATACGTATATATACAATCCTGAAAAGAAAGTATGTTGATTGATAATTGCTGCATGGGTTTTTTTAAAAAATTGGACACGTAATAACATTGGCTATTTAGCAAAGCATTTATAAATAAAAATATAGATTTTTAAATTTTTGTGGAAAGAAATATATTGTAACAAATTAAAAGAGATTGTAAACCACAATTTGCTGTTGTATTTGTGTGTTTCTTTTATATATTTAAGGTATCCTTTAAATATCAAATATACATATATATATATATATATATATATGTGTATCACAAAATTATAAAACTTCTAAAACAGTCTTTTACAAACCCCTCAAATCACAAAACACAATTCATGTTTGTAAGAACCATGTAAGTTTTTCTAAATTCTCAAAGATCAATTTCCAAACACAATCTTACTCATTATCATCATCATTATTGTTACTCTTATCCTAATTATTTTTATTCATTACATCCAGTTCTTCTACTTCCTCTCATCCTAAAACAAAAAAAAAATCACAAAACTGAAGCAAGATCAAGGATGGGTCGGTCAAATGAAGAGAAACAAAAACAAAACAAAAGTGGCAAGACACAAAAGGAAGAAGAAGTGGCCGGAATTGAAAAAAAATAAAACAAAAACAACAACAACAACAACATAACGAAGGAACGAAGGACAATAAAAATTCACTATAAATACAAACCCATTGGCTATTATTAAACACCCAAACGCATGATAAGACAAGTAATCAAGCGCCACTGCCATGAGGGCAACGAAGAGGGTCCGTCCAATGGGGCTAGATCTGACGTGGCGTGCCCCCCCTCACGAGCACCAAGTGGGTAACCAATGAGGTCGCGAAACTGTCTTCGGGGTAACAAAAAGTCCCCGTTCCCACCGCCCCCACGCAGGGCCTATTTAAGCATGGGCGAGACGGGACGATAGCGTTTGCTGCTGGAGCTACTTCACCGGCGCAGAAAGTTGCAGAGTCGTCGTCGTCGTCGTCGTCGTGCGGAGACAGAGAGCGAGCGAGCAAGAGAGCGAGAGTGAGAGAGAGTGTGAGAGAAGTTGGGCCGGCTACGGAGGATGCTTCTGGTGCCCCTCGTGTGCGCGCACGTTAACTCGGGCTCGTTGTTGCGCGGTGGATTTTGTTAATATTTGGTGGGAGTGGCGCTGCATTCCAGAGGCAAGCGGAGTTATTAACAGGGGGGGGGGGGTTGGGGGAGATTGATAGATAGATAGGTGGTAGAAGAAGCCCTAACTTAGTTGGTGTTTCGTGGTTATTGTCGGTTACGAGTTCTCGGGTTTGATTTCGGCCTGTAGGGTTACATTTTTGGGGGGCGTGCTAATTGGATAGCGGGAACAGGGGCAGCAGGGTAGGGTTGGGAGTGGGTGGTTTGAGAGAGAGGGAGGGAGACGGGGGGTGAGAAGGTTGTGGGATGTCGTAGTTGGAGGGGGTGGAAGGAAATTGTCGTGATTGGGTTTGTGTTTTGATTGTCCCATATCGGGGTTGGGTTCCGTGTCGTCGTGGTCCGGGATTGTCGGTTGGGGGAGGAAGGATAGAGAGCGGAGCGGAGGTGATTCGTGGCTGTGTGTGTGTTGTGTTTTTTGTGGCGGTGTTGTTTCCCGAATGAGTGAGTGGATGCATGAAGCGAGTGTGAAGATGGAGCTGTCGATGGGACATTTCTGATGTGGAGCAAGTTAGGGTGTGGTTCTTCTTAGAACTTGGGGCGGTTTTCTCAGGAGGATAGCTTTCACGAGCAGCATCGTGGATAGGCGGATTGCAGAGGGGTTCCAATTTGGATGTAGGGTGGCAGGATTGAAAAGGGCTTGTGGAGAACTGTGTTTTTAGCTGAAAATCTGTAGAGGATGTAAGACCAGCCTCAATATAAAGACTCGAGATAGTGGGCTTGTTATCCACATGGATCATGAGGGTTGCAGCAGCGGGGGCACGTCAGCCCCAACGACGTACACTTTTGCATTCAATGACAGCAATTTTTCGGATCGGGTGCTTCGAATCGAGGTGGTGGCCGCATCGGAGAAGAACGATGCAGGTAGTACAAGTGCTAGACAGAAGAAACGGCGACGTGCTGATCGCAATACTGAAGCAGGTTTGGTCTGCGGTCCGCGTAGACTTGAGTAACATTTTAAAATAACTATATTCTTTACGTGTCTTTGTTCATTGGAAGAAAGTTTTCCCTGAATAAGACTTAGATTCTGCGAGAATGATCAAAAGGGTGAAGATTTATGTAGTGATTGAGTTGGGACTGTACCACCCAAAGTTCGAGAACGTCCTTTTATTCGGTTATGATGGAGCAGTGTATTCACACCCTGATTCTATCCCGATTAGAAACCCGTGTTGTTACAAGCACGTCGTTTTTGCGTATCAATCCTGTTACCACTTAAGGTCAAGGCAATTCATTTTTGAATTGTACTGCGGATTTTGTCCCTTGGATGGAATAGTTTTGTCTGCAGCATGTAGTAATTCAGTTCGAAAGATCAATTGTCTTGATATTTTTACCGGAGACGAGTTATGTCGTTGCAAATGACACATCGTGCATTCCATCTCTCGACCCCAAACTAGGCAAAACCTAGCGTATTTTCAACATTCCATTTTCCACAATTGTGCTGACTTTGACACAGCTGACATGTTCTGTAATCGACATGGCTGACGTTGACATAGCTGCCTCGATTATTTCTTAGAGTCTTTCGTTGTTGATAAACCGGAAAGTAGAGCATGGTTGGGTCCCGACAATGGTAGTGCGGGGTCCCTGTTAGCTGCGTTCTCATTCAACTTCTGAAACTTGCGGTCTTTTGAGTGTTTAGCAACTTGTGTTTTGTAGTCTTTCGTGTGCTTTTGAAAGAATTATGAAATTTTGCGTGCTGTTTCATTACTTGTGACTCTGTGGTGTAGCTCGTGACTGACATATTTTCATGACAGTTGTGGAGGGCGTGTCGAAGTTGTTAGGCGGTGCGTCGGAAACTCAATTAGGAGAAGGACAAGAAGAGCAGGTCATGTATGTCGCTGAAGATGTGGCACCCCAAGAAGCTGATGAGGAAGCTGTAGCCATGATCGAAGAGACATATGGAGTTACCAGTATGTTTGGGGCACCTGGAGGTATATTCTCGATCTTGTGCGGAAAACTGAAATAATTTCATGACGTTACTACTACTACTACTATTTTCTCTAACTTTCAAGTCCCCCTTAGAATAGCAGCCTTCTAGGAAACTGAAAAAGCTTATAAAAGATCCTACCTAGAACCACTTATCATTTCTGACGATCATGACATTATCTGGACACGGTAGCTCAAGCAATTTTTCCTCATTGACGTAAAGGGTTTCAAGGATCATTGGATACGAACTCAACAGAGTCAATCCACCTGAATAATGTTAGAAACACAGAATAACGTCCTAGCAGAAAATCCTTTCTATATCATAACTATCCGTGTCTGCAGAAATAAGATTAGTTATCGAACATTTAGCTGAAGTTGGCTGGGTTCGATCTATACTTCGATATAGTCTAATGAGTGGGACTTCAGGTTGTTATCATTGACGAAGAATTTAGATTATAAACTAAGGAAATTTGCTTCTATTTGCGTTTTGAGCGGACCTTGTACGTGTAACGGTCTTTGTCACTGCTGTGATTATTGATTTACTTTATCTTCGACGAGTTGGGACGATGGTCATCTTTTGGTTGAGACGACCGTTTGAACTAGTAGAGTTTGCATGTGGGAAGAAATGAGGAGATGTTGGCCTTTTTAGTGTCAAATTGGACCAGCAGAAAGTCATGATAAATCAAGTTTAGTTCCTGAATAGATTTTGCAGGGGAAGACGGTGGGACATCTTCTGGATCTTGGAACATGGACACAGCTGTTGTTCTTAGGAGCAAGACAGTACACATCAGCTCTGCCATTCTGGCTGCCAAAAGTCCCTACTTTTACAAGGTATTTTCTGATTATTTTTCTCCAGATTCGTGTCGCTCCAGGTCAACTGGTAGTCAGTCTGTAATTTTCTTAAATAATCTTTTAATTCGAATTTTATTTTGTTGCACAACATAGAGTGTTAGATGTAGCATATCTATCTACTGCATCAGATGCACTGTGTGGGGTTCTTATTCTCTAATTATTAACTTAGTTGCTTCTGAGTGAAGCTCTTTTCGAATGGGATGCGAGAGTCTGAACAACGTGATGTTACTCTGCGGATCACTCAAGCAGGTGAGCATGTGCATTGTGTTCTTTAGTCTTCAGTATCCTTTCCATCAGTGCCCTTCCGTACGGTTTTGTCTTTGCAGCAGACAATTGGGAGTAGCTTGATTATATTGTATGCTTCGATATCTAGTCTCGTCCATGGTATGGCTGCTTCGACTTAATGTTAGACGTGGTTATGATTTGCAGAGGAAACACCATTGATGGACCTGCTTCAGTTTATGTACAGTGGAAGGGTTCAGGCTAACACTCCATCCACTGTTTTAGAAGTCCTTATGGCGGCTGATAAATATGAGGTGGCAACATGTATGCGATATTGTAGCCGCTTGCTCAAGAACATGCCCATGACGTCAGAGTCTGCTTTACTCTACCTTGATCTTCCATCCAGTATTCTTCTTGCTGAAGCTGTACAGCCTCTGACAGAAGCAGCCCGTACTTATTTGGCTAATCACTACAAAGACATTACGCGGTGGGGGTCCAAGCTTGTCCTGTTTCTTTAGCCTTTCTGTTTTAGAAATCTTTGTAATCTCATTGGAGTTATTCTCTGAGTTTGTCGTAATTGTATGTTATGGGACAGGGTAGTTAGTTATAAGGTCTATCATGCACATTTTTTCCAGAACAAATCCCAGGTGTTAGGAAGGGCTACATCTTTTTGTGTTTTTATTGTCTTCTTTTTCTTTTTCGATGTTGTTTCTCCCGGATTTTTTTTAGCGACTAAAGTTTTACATTGCAAAAGTTCTTCTATTCCTGCAATTGCTTTGTACTCATTACCATGATTATCACTGTGATGTAAATGATGCTGAGGGACAATAGCAATAAGTAACTGCAGGAAAGGGTCACTACAAGGGCTTTCATAGTATCTTTAAACTTTAGATTTCTTGACTGAGTTTATTTGATTGATTGGATTTTGTGGTTTTTCTTTTACAGATTCATCGATGATGTCATGGGCTTGCCTCTTGCTGGAGTTGAAGCCGTGTTGGCTAGTGATGATCTTCAAGTTGCCAGTGAGGACGCAGTTTATGATTTTGCCGTACGTTGGGCACGCCATCATTATAACAAATTAGAAGATCGCCGAGAAGTTTTAGGTTCCCGGTTGGTTTGGTTGATCAGGTTCCCCATGATGTCAAGCAGGAAACTTCGTAAGGTGTTGACTTGCGCAGACTTTGAACATGAGTTAGCATCCAGGTTGGTCCTCGAAGCACTCTTTTTTAAGGCCGAGCCTTCACACAGGCAGCGTCAGTTGGCCATGGAGGAGACTATGCACAAACGCTATTGTGAACGGGCATACAAGTACAGACCAGTGAAAGTGGTTGATTTTGACACATCATCTCAGTGCCTTGTGTATTTAGACTTGAAGATTGATGAATGCCGTGCCCTTTATCCTCAAGGGCGTGTCTACTCTCAGGCTTTCCATTTAGGTGGTCAAGGTTTTTTCTTGTCCGCCCATTGTAACCTGGATCAGCAGGGCCAGTGCAAGTGCTTTGGACTCTTCCTCGGGATGCAGGTATATGTCGTGCACCCGCAGCGAAGATCTCAAAATTCGTCATTGCTGTTCGTAAAGCCGACCTTAGTGTTCTGTACTTTCCATTCCTTTTTGTCTCCAGTTTTTTACTTCTGGTCTTTTGTGAGACTTACAGAGGATGTCTTTTCTGATTGGCATTTGCATTCGCATTTGCATTTAGAGCTCTGAAATTTTATCTGTCACAATTTTTGACAGGAAAAAGGCTCTGTGAGCTTTGCCGTTGACTATGAGTTCGCAGCAAGAATGAAGCCCACATGGGAGTTCATGCCAAAGTCGAAAGGGAGTTATGTATTTACCGGTGGAAAGGCAGTAGGGTATCGGAACTTATTTGGAATGCAGTGGCAGGACTTCATTGCTGAGGAGTCGCCTTACTTCCGTGATAGTATTGTTCATCTTCGGGCAGAGCTTACCATCAAGAAGCCGCCAAGCTGATGATTCTCGAATGCTTTGGAGGAACTGTACATTTTCAGATGTAAAAAACAAACAACTCAACAAGTTCAAAAGCCTAGATGCTTTCATATTCTGATTGATGACCATCCTGATATGAACCACGCGGATAGGCATCAACCCCCTCTGGTTTTCGCTACACCTAGCTGTTTTGAAAGAGACATTTTGCACGGTTTCATTGGTTATTTTAGCTTTCTAGGAGGTTAGAGTCATGTGTTCTTAGGAGGCGTACTCTTATAAAGAGTTTACATGGAATAATCAAACGATTGTCCTGTCAACGAGTCTTTTGTAGGGCTTTGCTCCTTCTGATATAAATGGTATTGTGCATTCCTGAAATCTTATCCTTCCAATATTATGCTTCCATTTTCTTGAATTTTCCTTCCCAGCAGATCTGGTAGAACAAAGCTTTCAACTTGGGTTTTGCCTAATCTCACAATTTGTAGCAAGAGATGTCTAACCAAGACGCTGAATCTTGCCCAAGGAAAGTCATTACTGGAGAAAGGTTTTCTTTTTACCAATTCTTCAAAGATCGGCTAACTCAAAGTTACCTCGCCTCCAACAGGAGATGGCAATCTTTCTCTGCTCTGTTAAGTCTAAATATTGACTGCAACTATTGACTACATTGTCATTAGTTATTCCAAGATAGAAAATTCGTCTAAAAAATGAGGCTGTGGTCGAGACTCAGGGAGAAACTACTCAGTATTGTATCCAAGAGAGAAACTACTTAGTATTGTACCCAAAAATGATGAATCTACATAACAAATGTTTATACAAAGATTTCAAGTAGGTCCAAATTGTTTTTGGAGCTCACTTACCTTGGTAACTTAATAGTGAAGTAGTAATTCCTCATCTCAACATGGAATAATATAACAACCATAACTTTTTAATAAAAATTGGCATGCATACATTGGTGTAGCATTAGACTTGTGAGTCTTTTAATTCAATAATCATAGATTATTTATTTTTTATGCACTTTCATGTAAAAGTATAAAATTTTGAAAAAATGGACAATATTAAGTTATTATATAGCTTAAAAAAATTATTATCTTTTTACTTCAATATAAATTTATCTATTTGTAGAAAAAAATATTAAAATTTAAGGTTTTTTTTAAATATAGGAATGTATTATTCTTCTTTATAATGATATTATTATAAATCTAAACTTAATTAAATATTATAAACACATTCAAGACATATGAAAGAATATCAAAATAATATAATCTCTAATTCAACAATGACCAATTGAAGTACAAAGCGATCTCATTATCTTTAGAATTAATATTGCTTGCTACTTGCATTTGTTGTAAAATATACAATGTTTTTGTCTACAAGAGCAACAAAGCACTGAAGTGGTCTTAAAAACTTAGAAAATTGTGACTTAAAAAAAAGAGATTGCTCTTTTTTCTTTTTTATTGATATTTTTTTAATTTTAACTTTTTTTTGTTTTAGATACAAAAATAGAATATACCTAATATATCAATAGAATGAAGATGATACAAAAGACACTTTAATTCCATAACATCCAAAAAGATGGGAAAAAAGATACTACATAAAATACTTATTAATACTTCTAAACAATTGTACTTGCATGAATATCTAGACTACATTGTGGTATTCTAAAGTTCTATCTAATTGCCTTGTGTTTTGTGGAGCTTCACAAGCTTATTTCCATCAAAGATTTGTTCTTTCTTTTTAATAGGAAAATCTCATATTAAATATATTTATCTAACTTCTTTCTTAAGAATTTTCAATTGAGTTGTCTATATTCTATAAGGCCTTGTTGTATTAGAGTTTTAGTATGGAATTCACTTTATACTTTTTCAAATAAAAATTTATTTCTTTGAATCCATATGGTCTACAAATAGAGCCTTTTTAGCAAAGACCATATGTTACAAAATCAAGGAAGGATATTCAAGTTAATGTTATAGAATAAAGACAAGTCAACCAAGTTAATGAGAAAGTGACCACAAGACTATAGGCATGGTGCATGTGAATTCCATCATTAATTGCCTTCAATATTTTTTGGTGTAAAATCCATAAGTAATAACAACCATCTAATTGGCAACTAGATCATTAAAATAAGGTAGTAATTCCAAAGATGTTAACTTTTTTTTAGTGGATGTGCCATGATTAGAAGACTTTCTACAATGAAGACAAGTCTAATTTCAAAGAGAAGAATTGAAAGGAAAGATGTCAAATATGCCATGTGTCACCTATGATGACATTAGTTATATAATAGTATGATAGCTACCATTTTTTTTTTTTCACCACAAATAAAACATGAAAGTCCATCTATCATGGATATATTATATAGGAGACCAAATAAGAAGTTGAACAAAAGAGTTTCAATATGAAAGCTAACAAGAACTTGATTAAATCTGATGAATATAAGATCAATAACAAGAAAGATGAGCTAAAGTTATAAAAGATATGTTGTGAAGAGTGAGGATTTCTTTAGCCTCAACTCTAATATATACTAGGTATTAGGAAGCTTCTTGAAAAGTTCATATGTTGCTTGAAGATGAAGCAACTTTAGGAAGCTTCTCAGACAACTTTTTTAATCTTCTTAAGACTTTTTAGAATTTATTAAAATATTTTAAGAAAATTTTAGAATCTTCTAAAATATTCTAAGAATATTTTAAAATCTTCTAAAATTTAATAGAATATCTTAAGAATATTCCTAAAATTTTCTTGTTAGAAATCCAAAATATCACTTTTCCTTCTAATTCTAAGTTCCATGAGGAGCATGAATTTTATATCTACATTCTTTCTTGTATACAATATTTAAGTAACTTCATAGAAAAGTCATTCTAAAATAGATTTAGAATTTTGAAGATAGTGTCAATTAAACTCATGTATTTTTTGCGGCATATTAATTAGGTTTTTTATTAGTTTCCATGTATGTTCATTGATATTGTAGCCATGCCAATGAATAAAATACTCCAACTTGCATCTTCTTTGCTTAGAATTAAGGATCTTTTCTACGTCATATTTCACATGATTATCTAATTCAATGCAAAGCAATGATGCTTGTATTCTTCTTAGAATAGTTGATTCCAAATAATCCTCTAAGAAATAAACATGAAAGATTGGATATATCTTCATAGATGTGGGTAGTTCCAACTAATAAGCCATTGGATTGATTTACTTTTGAATACAAAATGGCCATAGTCTTTGGTAGTCCAACTTATTGCAAGAATGATTAGTCTTTATATTTCGTCAAAGAAGCCATACTTTATCTCCAACTTGAAAAATAAAGGATTATTTTTTAAATTTGTATGAAGTTTCTTTGTAAGAATCTTGAGCTGCTTGTAAATGGAGCTTTAAAGTTATTTGGAGCTATGAAAATTGTTTTGCAAGATCTTCAACTGTTGAATTTTTATTCTTTGATGTACATAACAAATCAAGCTTCAAATAGTAACCATAATTGGAGTAAAATGGTATTTTCTAAGTCAAAGTATGAAGAATATTATTATAAAAAAAATCTACTAAAGATAAATATAAGGTTTAATCAACTTGTTGATGATTGATAGTACATCGTAAATATTGCTCCAAAACTTGATTGACTTGTTCTATTTGACCATTTGTTTGAAGGTAGAAGGAAAAAAAAAGTTTGATATCTACCTTTAATATCTCAAAAAGAGATTTCCAAAACTTTGATATAAATTGAGGTTTTTGATCAAAAATGATGTCATTAGATAGGCCATGATATTAATATATATTATGAAGAAAGACCCTTCTCATTTCTTCTCTAAAAATTATCTTTTTGCATGGGACAAAATGTACCATCTTTATAAGTGGATCCATAACAACATATATAGTATCATACATAACTTATGGCAACAAATTAGTGATGAAATCCATTGATATTAAAGTCCATCATTTCTTTGAAATTGGTAGTGGCTGTAGAAGTTTATAAAGATAATATTAAAAATTCTTGGATCTTGAACAAATGTCACATTAAAGAACAAAATCCTTCACGGTCTTTTACATTTAATGCCACCAAAAATCTCAAGAGATAAGCTCCAATGTTTTATTAAATCCAAAATGTCTTGCACCTAGAAAATCATGACGAATTTAAAGAACATGAAGTTGTATTGGTTCTTTTAGAATATATAAATGATCTTCAAAATACAAAAGATCTTCCACAAATTTGAATTTATTGTTGATAAGGCTGCTTGATATTACAAACTAATGAATTCTTAACTATCATTGTACAAAATTATTCAAAAAAACTTAAATTAACAAGTGTAACCATAGTAATAGCACAAAGACAAAAAAAAATTGGCTTCAAGAGAGTGATATATTACTAATCAAATATTGCTTCTCTAGCATATAGAGTAAGATATGATCTCTTTGATAAAAAATTTGATAGTCCATGCTACTTTTTTAGTCAATATGTAATTACAAAATCAAAATGAAATAATAATATATTCCAATAAGTTGAGCGGCAATTCAAAACCCGAGCTAACATGAAATATTCTAAATTTTTGTAATCCGTATATATAATTATAAGATATATAGGATCTTCTAATAAGTAATACTATTCTTAGAAAGAATCTATAACTATAAAAAATTATTTATTGTAAATTTTATAATTAATCTTGACAACTATAAAATTTTTAGAATAGAATGTAATTGGATGGAGCTTTCCATCCTTTTCCAACTATGATAGTATAGCTTCTAATGCAAAGTCAAAAGCATCAATCTCCAAATAGAAGGCCTTCATGAAATTTGAATGTAATAATATTAGAATTATAATAAAAGTTGCCTCTAAATCTTAAAAAGTCTTTTGTACTTGAGGTATGTATTGCAATTTATCTTTGGATGTCAACCGAGTCAAAAGAGTAGAAACTTGGAAATAATTCTTGATAAATATTCAATAGAAATTAGCAAATTTAAGAAAATATTGTACATCCTATATTATCTTTGAAGTTGCCCACTTTATTACAACTTGAACTTTCTTTGGGTCCATCAACAAGCCTTCATTGGATATAATATATCTAAAAAATTCCACTTTTGGCTAATAGAATATACAATTTTCCGATTTGGCATATAATCTTGCATCCTATATTTTTTATAAGACTAATCTCATATGCTATTCGTGTTCTTCAAGAGTCTTGGAGTAGATTAAGATGTTATCAAAATAACAAATAACAAACTTGTTTAAGAATTCTCAAAAAACATCATTCATTAAATATTGAAATATAGTAGAAGCATTTGTTAATGCAAAAGGTATGACATTGTATTCAAAATATTTGTATTTTGTTTGAAATATTATCTTATATTCATCTCTTTCTTTAATCCATAGCAAATTGTATGCTCTATGCACATCTATTTTAGTATAGATCTTAGCTTGACAAAGTTGCTCCAAAAGCCTTGATATCAATAGTAATGGATAATAATTCTTCACCATTATTTTATTCAGGCTGCAATAATCACACACATTTGCAAAGATCCATCTTTTTTCTTCACAAAAAATATTGGTGCACATGTTAGAGATTTGGAATGTCATATAAAGTTTTTTGCAAGATTTTTGTCAATGTAATCCTTTAATGCCAAAAGCTTATTGTGTAATAGATTATAAATTGGACCAAATGGTGGTTGAGCCCCTTCTTGAAGATCGATGGCTTAATCATATAATCGATGTTCCAATAATATGTCGATATTTTGTTTTTTTGAAGACATCTTGAAATTTCTTATATTGCTCTAGGATACCTACTAACAAACTTACTTCTTCATGAACTGGAATTGCATAAATAACAAATGATATATTTTTTTTAGCCATCTTCACAAAAATCCTTGTTTTTAAAAATAAAAGCTTTATTATTCATGAATTTTTGATAAATTTTGCTCAAAGAGATTCAATAGGAAATTCAATCTTATAAAACCTCTAATGTATAGATAGATCATATCTTTCTAACCACAAAAGTTCTAGAATAATAGAATTAGATAGAGTTCTAATTATATTAAATATTATTTTACTATTATGGCCTTGAAGTGATATTTTTAGTAATATGGTCTCATAAATAATATTGATTGAAGATAAAGATCAGCCATTTATTACTTCTACATATACAAGTTTTGACTTTTGTACTAAAAGAATTTTATGAAGTTTAGAAAATTCCTCATCTAAAAAATAAGCAGATGCTCTTGAATCTGGTAAGGCATTTGTTTGAAGTTTTTATGATCTAAGAGATAAAGATATAATAAAATAATAAGCACATTGGTCAGAAAAAGAGGGATCTTGATGAATTTGAGATATTAGAATGTCTAGCTATATAGTTCGTATTGTGCCTAAGCCTCCTCGTTTTCTTGAATGATCATACTCCTAGTTTTGGTTGTACATTGTTTCTTTAGACAATTCACAGATTTGTGGCCTTCTTCTCTACAATACAAGCATAAGACTTATTCAAATTGATGATTCTCTTCTTCTAATATAAGAGGTTTAAATTATATTGTATCAATTTGCATAACTTTAACTCCCAAATATAAAAGTAATGTATTTATTGACGCATCAAAGTACAAATTTTCAATGCATTATTTTGTCAAAGTTTATAAGCATTGATCTTGATAACATTGAAATAATCAATTATTGTACTTCACAACTTTTTTGATAGCTTCATTGAGTGTTTGAGAATCAAGTAATGATAATAGTAGGTCTTTCACATCATTCCTTAATCTCCAATAGAATTGGCTCATAAGAGCTTGTTCATCCCAATTGATGGTTCAAGCCAATTGCTTAAAATTAGATACATAAATTAATGCAAAGCATGATCTTTAATATAATGAGTGAATCTTTGTTGTCATCCATTGAATCTTATCATGTTCTTTAAATGCCTCTGCAAATGCTTCTAAGAAAGCTTTAAAATTACTCAAGAGTAGAGATCTCTTCTCAAATAAAGGAGCAAACCAAGATAAGATTTATCCTATGATTAAAGTTCCAACTACACCAACTCGTGACTTCTCTATTAGATAGCGCTTAGGTTGTAGAAAAGTTACCAATTGAATTTGGTTAACATATTCTCAAAACTTTGACCATGTGTCATCCAATTTTTTTAGAAGACTAATATGAAGCTCCTTATATTGTTGAATAGATCAATTTTCTTATTGAAATACATGTGTTACTTCCTCTTTGCATATAGAAGCTTGAGAAAGTAATTGCATCACATACTAACCAACTACAAGTCTTGCATCACCATGAAATCTTACAAAAAAATCCTCAATTTCAGCAATTCTACAAACTAAAGCATTCAGTGTGTTCATAATAACATCTAACTTCAACTAGAGATATTCAACCATACTAACATCTTCACCTCCAGCTACCTTGAAAGAAAAAAAAAAAGAATTTCTAAACAATAACAATTTAAAGGAGGATACTCCTCAACTTCTAGAGCGCTTAGATGCCTTGAAGTAGAGGGATAATCCACTCTCTATCAAGAACGATGAAGCTCTAGTATTGATAAGAGGGTAGTCTCTATAAACTATCTTGGATACAATATATAAGAAACCAAACAAGAAGTTAAATGGAAGAGTTTCAATAAGAAAGCTAACAAGAACTTGATTAAATGTAGAATACAAGATCAATACCAAGAAAGGTGAGCTAGAGCTCTAAAAGATATATTGTTAAGATTTAGGATGTCTTCAATCTTAATTTCAATATATACTAAGTATTTGAAAGCTTCTTGAGAAGTTTCCATATTACTTGAAGATGAAGCAATCCTAAGAAGCTTTTTAAACAACTTCTTTTATTATCCTAGAACTTTCTAAAATCTACTAGAATATTTTAAGAACCTTCTAGAACCTTCTAAAATATTCTAAAAATCTTTCTAAAATCTAATAAAATATTTATAGAATATTCATAGAATCTTCTTGTTGGATGTCTATAATATCATCTAATATAATTGCCAACTTAGAGAAAACAAATTCATGAATAGGAAGATGACATGGAACACAAATTTTGGAGTACTCTTGGCACTCTTGTTCATTCTTGCCTTCTAACATCAAAATACTACTTGACAACACATCCTTCATACAAAAAATTGTGAGATTTATCTTGGTATCGAGTATTGTAAGTATCTCATATTGCAAATATACATAATCTCTTACAAAGAATCTTTATAATTGAGGTTGATAAGCTCCACTACAAGTGTGAGCATATTGTAAGGTGTTACAATATTGAGCATTTGACAAATTCTCTATAGCCATGAGCATGGTTCTATTAAAAACCTTTGCTTAAACATACAAACATAGTTGCCAACTTTGAAGAATTTTGTGGTATAACAAGTTCAATCTATTTGTTGAAATGCTCCACTATCACCAACATATATTTAGCTTCATGTGGAGTAATATCAAGTAACTTAGCAAAATCCAAAGACCAAACAATAACCCAAATTCATAATCAATGTGATAAGATGCCAAAACCTTCTTAATAACTTCTTTTGATTCCATTTGTAGAAGAAAGGTGGCATAACTTTTGAAAAATCTTGGTAGAAAGAATTCACTTAAATTATACAAAATCAAGTACAAGTACTCACTTCAACTAGAGATATTGTAAGATTTGAGAACCTCCCTTTCTTTATTAAGGTCCATTGAGAGATTGGCACATGTATTAATTGTGGCACCTCTCAAATATCTTAGCATTATTTGCCTCTTGTCTCTTTTGACACATTAGGTGTAGGAAGGCATGGCACCTAAAACAATATTGTCTACCCTTTGCTAATCCTAACATACACAACAAAAATGATGATGAATGAAAAAGAGAAAAGAAAAAAGAAAAAACTAATTAGTACTCACTCCATGTAAAGATTACTCACTAGATTGTGCAACACATCCTAGGCTACATTGACAATGAACCAAGGTCAAGCACTTGCAAATCCTGAAGTACTGGCTTTTGCAGTGGACCATTGCAACACTTCCAGTCTGCAACAAAGGCATTTGGTGGTAAAAAATGAATACTTTCACAAACAAAACACAAATTTCTGACATCCCATTTCTAACAAAATTGTGAACAGCAAAGTTAACCCATAAAGACTCCTCTTTTGATGCCTTTGAATAGTTATTAATTCAAAAAAGACTCTACAAATCACTCACTATTACCATATTGGTGTCATTATTTTTCAAAAAAAAACACTGATATTATTAGTTCAACTAGGAAGGCCAACCACCCCTGCACTTATTGCAACCAAGCAGGACATTAATACTGGTAAGAATGAGCACGACCCAGAAGCAAAGGTTTCAGCATTACAGAATCCTTGACCGATACTGAAGATAACTCGAGCTGCAGTGCTCATCACTGTGTCTTAATCTTTACAACATTGCTCTTCACTTGAAGTTTTCATGGCTTGAAATTGCCTAAACCTGGGCGTTGTGGTTCAATCAGCCTATTCAAGGCAGCTGTGCATTAACAGGGTGAAACTGGTTTGACAGAATACATTTAGGTACCAACTTACCACACAAAGTATCAAACCAGCAACACATTTATTTTGTATTCTCTTCTTTGTGTAATGTCACCATTGTATAATAGCGTCAACTTATTATGAAACTCATAAAAACCATCTCAGAACAATTGTCGAATTATAGGGAAGCCACGTGTACACCTTTTTTTTCTTTTTCTGTTTTGAACTTTGCATCCTTGCACTCAATGTGATAAACAATAGAGGCTTAGAAAAAGATGACAAATTGACAAAAGCCCAAATTATCCCCAACTAACCCATCTCATTACGGATCTAGTTTTTGCTCGAATGTATCTTATTGCCATCTGAGAATAATATGCTCAGTCAAAAAGAAAATTCTAAGACCCATTCAATTCGGTCTGGGGTGTAACACGTGCTGGTCCATCAGATCTGGTATCATGATGGTCTATCCCAGCTCGTTTCGGATGTTTTCACATTGCCGTAATACACTTCACAAGACTCCGCATCCCAGAAAGCCTGACACCAATGAAAGAATGACAACATCATTAGAAACGAGGTCACCAATACCTCTCACTAATGATTTTGTACGAGGAATTATAAATCCCAAACAATATGTTACACGTCAAAGGGATGCAACTGAGAATACTGCACTCCGATACAGCTGAACAGTTTGTATCCACTTAGAAACAAAGAACTAAAGGATGGTTTGGGTTTGATACGTCTAGCTCAACTTTTTATTAGTAGAGATATAGTTATCAACAATAAGATAGCTAAAAAAAATGCACAGAACAGAGAAAATGAAATCAACGAACAACAAGTACGAAAGACACCAAGTACCTGCCAACCAGCAGGTAAACCCTTTGTGAGCTCTTTCAGATCCGGCCTCTTTGGTGGCGTAGTGTTAACAGCCACTTTGTCCGCATCAAGACTGGACTCATCTGATACGTTCGTCGGTTCCTTTTGAGACTCTTCCGATTTTGCAGATTTTCCCTTTTTTGTTGCCAGTTTACTTGCCTCCTTGGCCTTTTTTACCCTCTCCCTCCTGAAATATAGGACAACAAAAGACCTTCAGAAACTTACATTTTTTTTATTAGCATCTTTCGATGCATAAATTGTTTGACGCATGTACATACAAGATCAACATACTGATATCTAGAGAACTCGAATTTGGATTAGCTTCACCAGGTGTCTTCCTAAGAAACTCACAATGTGCCAAGATCAACGCTAATAATGTCAAAGCTCGCTACCACAGAGAGAATTAACCACAAAACTATATAACCAAGAGGTATTTGGTAACCATACTGATTCCTAAAACACGTCAGCAGAATGTTGTGAAATACCAGTCTAAAGTCCCAAGCGGTTGAAAATTAGCGTTCTCTAAAGCACCACCACTGGCCAGAGTCTGATGCCTCCATTCCTCTATTTCTTTTTGCCGCTTTCTTTCCAAAGCTTCAACATCAAACATATCTTTATCTTCATCTGCTTCGTCACTAGAGTGTAGCTCCTCCTGTGCTGCTAACCACTGGTACGTCACATCACAGGCTCAGAACATTCTTAAGAACAACTACGTCAGATACTTGTTTACAAACCAAAGGCTAGTACACACAGTGCTTACAACAGTCTGTAACACTCACAGTAAGAAGACACATAACATACAAATACCAGACACAAGCGTAGGTATGATTTGCACCTTATTAACTAAGGTAGAAACCTTCTTGTTAGACATCAATGATGCTCCAACTGCCGCACTGTGAGACCGTTTCTTGACACGGCCTAGCATAAAACCATCAACACAAAGATAAGCTCAACAGTTACCAAACCAAAATTTCGTAAAACAGCACTCCAAAACAAGCTACTAATACAGAGGGATACTTCAGAAAGCAAAAAAGCGAGAAGTGAAAAGAAAATAAAAGAAAAAGAAAACCCTCCATGCTAATGGTGATGTACAAGTCAATGTCTTTCTAACCTCACCTTTAGTACTTTTCTTTGTGGAGGTGTCAGCTGGCAATATGCTCACCCCTGAAGAAGGTACAGCATTGCCATTAATATGGGCAGTGCCAGTATCCAACTCGATAGCACCAAACTTCCCACCGTCTGAAGGTCTATCCGTACTCGGAGTTTCTTGGCTCGACAGGTTTGTCCCTACTGAATAATAAGCACTTGAGGAATTCACGGGTACAGCAGAACTTAGATAAGCAAGATGACTAGACGCTGAAAATGTGTCGACAGCACTCTGACCTGATGCGGAAGAATGAGGAGGCTCATCCTCATCTGGAGGGGGAGGAGCTTCGTGATCTGGCAAAGGTGGGGGAACCCATTCATCTTCTGGAGGAGGTGGAGGAACCCATGATTCAGCTTGAGGCAAAGGAACGGAGGACTGCATAACAGGGAACACGGGAGCTACACTAGGAAAGATTGGGACAACAGGAAATAGAGGGGCATCGTTCATGGGAGGAAGTGATTGAGCAGGAGGAATGTATGCAGCTTCAGGAGGCAAGGATCCCATATGTCCATAGGAGACAACTTGAGATAATGGTGGAGTAGGGATGTACATCACTGTCTGTCCTACGGAAGACTCATACGGCACGGATAACGCCATAGCGTTAGTAACATTGTTATCCACAGATCCGGCGGCGACAGAAGTACCAAAGTTATGATCATCTTCAGCTTCCATATCCACATCCATGTCGACATCCATATCTGTATCAGAGTTCACAGACGCCGTTAGCATCTGCTTGCACCACTAAACCGAAACCTCAACAGTGCATACTGGACACTTTCGTATCGAATGCCAGATAAACTATATACTGTCGAAATGGCAAGACTATCCAATTTCCCGAAACTTCTATCCATTGCATATTAGTCCTGATAGATCAAAGAGCAAGCCTATCACGAAACCACAGAAACAGGTACCTTCATCTTCGCTTCTTAATTGAATCGTAGGTTTAAAATCTCTTTCAGACTTTGGCAATGATAACTGAGAACTCCCAGGTGCTTCAGGCTCGTGTTCTGTACTTCCAACTCCATGCATGTAACCATCTCCTCTAGATTGGGGCTTTCCGTCCTCAATACTAATAAAGTTCTGTTGCTCTGTCTCCAATGATGGCGCAGCTTGCTCAATAGGTAAAATTGCTTCTAACCTTGCAATTTGAGAATCCATGTACTCCCAATACTGTTTTTCCACGGAATCATGCTTGGCTACGGCTTTGCAGTCACACAATCTTACTTCTGATTCAACGGCTAGCCGCAGCCTTGATGATAGACGACGCAGAGCTTCGCTGCAATTTACAAACAGATCTTCATTCGTTTCACAATGTCCATGTAAAGTAGACTACATAACCAAAATGGAAAAAATAACATACATAGGTAAACCATGCGTAGGCATCTTCGCAGTCAAACGAATTCAATGTGCCCAGTATCAGCATCAGAACTCCTTACCCTGCTAATATTTTGAACCCTTGCACCAAAATTTCACCCCGCTCTATTAAGCGCTGGTGATCGTACCTCCTTGACTGCTCCATTACATTTTTTAAATCCAGATTTTGCAAATCGGTGGTCTCTACTTCATCGGCAGTAGTGGGGCGATCTCCGGTATGTCCAGATACGGTTGATCCAACTGCAGGGTTCATGTCTTCAGCACCCACAACATTTTCAACCATGTTCAGACTCATGCTCTCTTTGAACTTAGAGGCATCACCTGCATCATGCTCCACAGTAGCTGCACTTGCAGAAAAGTCTGGATCACGCTGTAAATCTGCGGAAAACTTTATAACACTCTCCGATGAGCAGTATACTCTTTCAACACTCTCTCTCGTCTCTGATAAACTGCCAGATTCTATTCCGCCGTTGTGGTCAGAACTTGCATCTTGCTTTTCCGAATGATCGAAAGACGCTTCCTTTCGTCCAGTACCCTCCAACTGGCCACTTTCAATTTCTGCTACGCATTGTTCCTCCATAAGTTCAATATTCTTCGCGTCTTGCACTGCAGCATCATCTGACTCGGAAACATCTTCCTGCACCGAGAACTCATGGGCAGGTTCACTGCTTGATTGAGGATCTTGGACTGAACATTTTTTCTCAATTTCGACTCTGTTTTGAAGACCCTTCGCTTTCCGCGCTTCGAATTCTGCATAAGTTGCCGGCTTTTCCCATGTGGTTACACCTGTAAACTTGTTCCAGTAATAATACTCGGAACTCTCTTTATGCAAAACTGCTTCCCATTCGCATATTAACTCATTCTCTTCAGTGTCCACGTCTGCAAAAGCTCCCAGGCCGACACATATAAGTTGAGATGCACTGGCATGTACATTTAAGAGCAGAATAAGATAAGATAAACAAATAACTCTAAATTGCTTAGAATCTCTGCAAACAAACCGTGAGAAGTTGCAGACAAACCTCAAATCCACCTTTTTCGTGTTGAGCAGGAGTTCTCATGCAAAGTAAACAAACAAATGTCATCTTATGTAAATCACCACTCCCTTGAAAGATGCTTGTACCTTGTGGAGGTTTTGCCTCTTCAGTTCCTTCTGGCTCCATTTTATTTTCGTGATCAGAACTCTCATCCTTCAAAATACCACTTGTTTCGAGGTCTGCAAGAAAGCTGGCCACCTTCAAACAAAAAACAAAAATGTCAATTTTGGGTCTTAGCATTAAGAAGGATTGAAATCATACGACCGCGGCTGCACCAGTTACGCTAACAAACTAAGGACAAAAATGCTCCCATCGACTCGGTGCCACTGAAGTGGTGCCTTCAGTTACAATTTACTCACAACAGATTCAACACGGTTTAAAACTTAACTTGAAAATAGAACTAACGACATGCTGGGTATTAACATAAGTAATCAAAGGGTTATAATCCAAGAGATCTAGTAACAGGTGAAAAGTTTTCACAGAAGGTTTAACAACTACACATTCGAAAACAGTTCTACTTTTGGAATATAAGAGCGGTTGACAGGTAAACCTATTCAGTCCATACAAGAGATAAAGAGCAAGAATACATGAACATTATAGATACACTAATGCAAGAGAGAATATATCGACCTGTGGGGAACTCCTAGACATAAAATGGTAATAACAGAGGAAAACATGTCCACTTCATGTATGTCTAGGAATATATCGACCTGTGGGGAATTCCTAGACAAAGCATGCTTGTGAGCAATATAGCTAGTATGCAACCAGCAGAAAACAAAATAATGAATTAGAGTCTTGTACCTTCTGATCCACTTGGCCAACAACAGCGACAGCTGAAGCACCTCCACTAAAACCATCTGCAAGCATTTGTTCTTCTCCTTCTGCTTCATCATCACTATATTGACCCAAAAGTAAGAGAGGGTTAACCTGCACAGAGCCTGCACATTTCATAGGAGGATAAAAAAGAAAGTAAGTAAGCAGAGACATACAAGCAGGCAAAGCTGTTGTTCCCAAGTCTCTCGCGCTTCTTGCTTGGGGACCTCAACTCATATGCCTCACCATCAATCAACCAACCAACCTTAGATCTTAAGTAGGCGCTAACGAGAGCGCCTCTAAAGAGTCTCGTACCCTTTGGTAGCATAGCACGACAATAGAGTTCATAGAGAGGAAAAGGGGAGAGGATTTGACAAACCAAACAAGCTAGAAACATACGAACCGAGTGCTGCCGATCTGCAAATCTCCACCCGCGCAGTCCAGCTGGCACCATCACAAATGACAAAGCAGAAGGAGAGGCCTTAACAAGATCTGATTCAACATCATCATCCTTCCACTGCGAGCGAGGACGGCCCTTTCACTCCCAACACAAGCACTAGGAGCGGGTCCAGCTAGAGTAGGCCCCATTTTCACTCTCAAGTAGTTTTTTTTCTTTTCTTTTCCGGACCATATTTTGGTTTGAACATAGGGCTTTAGAATTTTGATTCGAGAAAAGAATCATGCCCTGGCATTGAGACAACACTGTCGAATGGTTGCAGGACCACCATAAGTGTGGGGATCCTTGCTAGCCCGGTGAACCCACCTGGTAAGGAATGCGGAGACTGTCTTTCATCGCTTTCAACACCAGTCTTTTCACCTCCTTCCTCCACCGTGCAACTAACATCACTCATGCTGCTCTTCCCTGCATGCAACGTGGCAAAACCTTAAACTCCAATCCCAGACAAACAAATAGTAGCTGTGAGTTTTTAAGAGAGAAGGAAAAGCAAGTGGCGGACGACGCGCGATAGAGAATAAACTAACACGATAGAATTTGCAACGACTACAAACCCACGCGAAACATACTAAACTAATCCTCTCAAACCGAGTCTCTTCCGACATGAAAAGAAGGCAGCACTGCTCGAGTTCCTAGTCAGCATGCAAGGGCAAAAATTCAAACCAGCTTCATCCCAAAAACCCAATATCAGAGAAAATGAAGGACTCCAACGGCAAACGAAAAGCCTGCCGGAAGATCCACAACCGACTCCCTCGCCTCTCAGCAGTGCGAAGCTAAACTAAAAATAACGACAATCCGCAAAAAATTCTCCCACGAAAGAAGTTATTAGAACGAGGAACCAACCTTCAAAACCAGCGGCCAAAGGGACCTTGTCTTCGTCATTGCGGAGGTCTAATTTGACTCTCCTGCCACCACCGCCGAGCACGGCATGGCGTCGGTCCCGTCGCTTGCCCATTCGACTGGAAAGCCAGAGGATGAGATGACAGCAGCAAGGCAAAAGACGAAAGACAGCAACGCGGGCATTGAAGAGGAAACCCTAAATCTTCGTAGAGCACAACAGACACAAACGGGAGTGCACGAGAAAAATTGGCTAAGAATAAAACAGCTCCTTCCCTCCCTCACTCTGCGTATGAGCCCCGCTCAAGACCCGCCCCCCCCCCCTCCTCTCTATGTCTTAGCCTCTTTTCCCACGGGCACCAGACTTGTGACCCCATAACCACGCCCGCACCCCTCCGCCACCCCAGAGGTCTCTCCAACTCCGGTCCTTACTATAAATGGCCGTGAAGGTTCTACCCCTTTCGCCGTGCTAGATAGATTCATGGACGCATAAACCTTACACTACCTTTTACTTTTTCTGACTTACACCTTTATTTTATTCTATTTTAGTTCAGTTGTTATTTTAGTGTGGTTGTTACTTTTTGAATATTTCTTCAGGTGCATGGAAAACATTTAATCTCAAAAATGTGAGTGTTGTTGAAATATTGATGAGTTACTTCTGGGATCTTCTTTATTAAGAAGTAGAATATTGTATTGACGTGTTTTTGTGCATTTTTTGATACACAGGGATGAAAATAAAAAAACAAAATAAAGATTATTGTGAGCCTGTATTCAAAAAATAATGACTGAGAGACTACATGTTTAAAAGAAACTTTAAAATGTAAAACTTTTATGCATGTACAAAATATTATGAGACACATACTTTATTATCTAGTGATTTTATTTTGAGTTTTTATTCTTGATTTTCAAGTAACTTGACGTCACTTAAAGTATAAAACTAACTAGCATGAATTGACACTAATGCAATTATTAAATTGAAGTACAATTCTTTGTGTTGTTAATACGAAATAATGTAATTCGACATACTATACATTTAGAACAATACTATGCAACATACATATGGCATTATGTATAAATTAATAAACGCACAATATTATCATACGTATAATGTTAGAAAATTGAGCCATACGGAGATTACAAACTGGAAAACTATTATGAATAAATCAATAATGACTGCACAAAGATGTAATCTTAAATTAAGTACATAATGTAAAGTTAAATTTAGATTTTTTTTGTGGGAATAAATATAAGTTTCACTTAATGTGTAATGGTAGTATATGAAAAAGAAACAGTTTTTCTATAAAATAAAGTGATTAATTTTGCGAATATAGTCATGGAAGAGCAGAAACACTTTCACAATGAACTATTATAATCCATGACTTCGTCAGCACAACACGGTGTAATTAAATCCCTTATCCATAGTAAATTACAAATAACACCACATATTAGCTCGTCCAAATAATAACTCAACCCCCAGATAAATGTACAAGACTCATCTGTTCAATCTACTTACACCCTGCTGCAGGGAAACATGACACCAAAACCTTGAGCTAAGTGATGTTGCCCTGACTTCTGCTTGTTATGCTGCAAACTGGAGTCGAAACCAGATGAGGCTGAAGTCGGAGCCTCTGCTGTTGCCTCATTTTTAGATCCACCTTTTTAAACTGAGGGTGAAGGTAAAAGACACAGCACAGACGAAGCTCAATAATTGAAATTGGACTAAGTTTAAGACATGATAAAGAGCAACGATATTGTTATGCTGAAGGGGGGGGGGGGGCTAATAGTACCAGCGGCGGGTATTTCACACCAGTGCACTACTGTATCACTCGGAGAAACCGATGTCCAGGCATTCCCTCTGCTGTTGCCGAACCTAATATAAATCCGATCAAACCCTGTTCGCTACCAACATAAACCCACCCATCCCCAACGCATTGCACGCCAAAGGTCTCCTACAATGACAAAGGAAAATAGCAATATTTCATTATCCAAACAATCCTGACCACAATATTTGTCAATCAAAATCGTCGTCAGCAAGCTGCAAGTCGTCAAATACCCAGAATCTCCAAATCGCTGATATGAAGTCAATTCAAGTCAACTCCAGTAGCCAAGAACTGGCCTACATCGATGCCCAAAGAGTTGTTTCTCTCCAGACTCAAGTCAGGTCGTGGCAGCCCATTGTCCACTGCACAAGACCCTGGAATGGAGTGTCCATGCACTGGATACCGCAGACCGTGTGCGGGAGTTCTACTTGAATCCATCCCGAAGTTGAATGCGTCTACCCGATTTTGAGAATCTCCACCTGATGTGTCTTTGTTTAGAAGGGCCATGACGGCACCTCCATGGACGCGGCCTTCAGGTATAGCAGACATCAACCTCCCTTCGTGAACACGACTCTCCGAAAGAGATGGCATAAGACCACCTCCGTGAACTCTCCCCTCGGGCAATGACAACAAACCTATGTTGAACATCCCTTCATCAGAATCTGAGAGTTGCGGTCGGGGTGGCCGCCCATTTTTGGACTTGTTAAAAGATCCGTGCATATCCTTTTGCATTGATAAAGGCACCAAAACCTGAAATTTATTAAAATAAAATATTAGTAACAGTCTGCAACACAAGGACGACTACAGCATAACAGAATGACGATACATATGAAGTTATAACATAAAAATAAAATAAAATAAGTAAAAAGATAAAACACGCAAAATTTTACTATGGACACGAATGAAGAGCAGGAACATTAACAAACTTCTCGTCGCCCAAAAGGGTAGATCACTACCTGAGGAGGAATGAAAGGTTGGTGAAAAGGCAGTGACGAAGGGGTTGGCTGCAGGGGAGAAGTATCCGTAGCTACGGGGTTCAAATCAAGTCCAGCGGTAGATTCTGCAAGACTTCCGACGCCGGTAGTTGTAGATGCGTTAAAATTGCTCCTGTTACCACCTAGAGACGCGCTTAAGAAACCACCACGATAAGGACCATGCACGGTGCCTGAGGTATCGCTGACCATTGACGGATTTGTGTTGTCGACACTTGTAGAGAACCCTTGTGACATAGAACTCCTGGAAAGTGCTGAACCCCTTTGAGCCCAAATTCCAATCGGTGCTCGACCAGTATGTGAAGGTGCATCCGAGCCTGGCAAAAACCTCAACATAGTCAACAACAATAGTCCTTTCGAAATATGACATACAATAAGCGTTAACAAACGTGAATATAAAATGATTCACATGTAAAGCAACAGTACCTGTTACAGCTGGACTCTCTGTCGCTCCGCTCCTCATTTCACCAGACATACTTCTGAGAGGTGCGCTACCACCAGTTGCTGTTGTCTCCGCAGTCGTGCTTGTAGTAGCCATCCCACTTGGGCGACTCTGCCCTGCACCAGTTACCAAGCCTCGAAATAGACCAGGGGCCAATCCAGGGGTAACTGTACTTCCGACTGCACTCCCACCATGTACTTGTCGATCTGTAACTAAAGCACTATGGGCGGCACAAAGGCCTGTCTTGCCTCGTGCAAATTTATCACAAGGAGCTCCCGAAACTGGTTCTTTGTTTTTATCTCTCACGAGTTCACCAAAGTTGAAACCCTCTGTTCCCCATTGGCACCGTTTTCCACCTCCGTGAGCCTTACAAAAATCTGTGCTACCTTGAGCACTCTTGCCGCATCCTTCCACCTTGCACCGTTTCCCACCTCCATGTCGAACACAGAAATCTGTCCGACCCCGCGCGCTTTTTCCACAACCTTCTACAGCACAGCGTTTCCCACCCCCATGAGCCACACAGAAGAGGGTTCCTCCGTGCACACTTTTCGTGCAGATTCCACCACCATCAAAGGCACAACGTTTCCCACCTCCATGGCCTTTACAGAGTGGAGTACTTCCCTCAGCACCCTTGTTACAGTCCTGTATGATGCAGCGTTTTCCACCGCCATGAGCTTTGCAAAACATAGTGCTGCCTTGGGCTCCTTTGGTGCAACCGGCGAATTGACACCTGAAAGAGGAGAAAAATGTATCAATCCTTCTGGAAAATATATGCAGTAACCACTACATTAACGTGTTTCTTACTGAAACCAAAAAGGAACTTCTCTGACAATCATCTTTCTATGCATTTCAGGACGATTAAGATCAAGGTCATGAGAAACACCAGCAATTCCATTCCAAATCAATCCACAACTGACCACTTAACCTTTCACCTGTCGGTAGACTGATGGTAGAGGACGGCACTACAGCCTAAGGAAGATAATAAGGAAAGTAAAACTCTAGGATATTTCAAAGACAAACCACTGCCAAAGCGCTGCTAAATAACCATTAAGAACTTGGTGATATCTACAGGTCCTGTCCGCTTGTTGAATCACAGAGTTGTAACTACTTTTCACGAATCAACCCTAGTTTCAACAATATGCCAATATCCAAGGAAACAATTTCACTCACCTGCGTCCACCACCATGTGAAATACATAATCCAGAATACCCTTCGGCACTTTTAGTGCACCCCTCAATCTGGCAGCGCTTCCCACCACCATGACGAATACACAGGCCTGAACGACCCCGGGCGGCCTTACCACACCCTTGAAAGCTACAACGACGACCACCTCCGTGCCCTATACAGTAATCAGTTTTCCCTTCGGCGCTTTTTGTACACCCTAAACTTTGACATCTTCTGCCTCCTCCATGCGCCTTGCAATACACTGTACGTCCTTCTGCACCCTTGTTGCACCCATGCTTTTGGCACCTGCACTTGAGGGAATCAGAGTGAAATTTAGTTTAATTTGCAATATGCAAATAAGATGATATCCCGCGTATCTACCACCTCATTGAATCATGATTAGAAGCAAATATAATAAATTCTTCCAAGAATGAACCAGAAATTGTAAATCTACACACATCGAGGACAATACATCGAGGATTGAAATTTTGGAAACGACATAACAATATAACTATGGGTCATCCAGCAACTTCGTAATTATTAGAAATAACAAGTATTCAAAGAAAAGAAAAAGAAAAAGAAAGAAAAAAAAAAAAAAAACGACGTTGTAATGAATGGTCTATACAACAACAACATAGAAAAATAAAAGCAGTTGACTATTAAGTATAGATACTGACCTCCGCCCGCCCCCATGCGCTATGCACAGGCCCGAAGCACCTCTCGGACCTTTGCCGCACCCTCGAAATTTACACACTTTTGGGGCTCGATCAGACCCAGAAGCACCACTAGTAGAAGTCGTCCCATCGCTAGCAGATGAACGCAAGGTCATCAAAAGATCATGCTCGACAATTTCTTCTTCCATGCGCCCTTTTCCGCGAGCATCACCACGGTGTCGGTCAGACGCCACTGTAGGATAGATTTGGCTGCCCATCAGAAGAGAAGGCATGTAGCCACCACAAGTAAGGCGAGCTGTGCTGGACCCTTCATCGACAACTGGAAAATGAGTCCCATTACTAGAATGAGACTTTGCCCCTTGATCAAGTCCTAGAAGAAGCCCATCACTTCCAAACTTCCGACCAGTTATCGTGTCAACATAACCGGTGCACGAAGGAGCTAATCCCAGGTGTGACCCAGCATGCTTTTCAGAGTGGCTATTGTATTGTTGACCGTCTCCAGGCCAACCTGAACCCCCAGGTGCAGGAGCTCCCGATTGTAGATTTCCCATGGTGTTCAAGCGGAGGAGGACACCGGGTTCAGTTCCATTCAGCCCTTGGCCCTGGCTTCTTGCCATGAGCATCTCCGCAGCGGCGCTTCCACTATGAACTGTCTCATCCCCACCCAAACTCCCACAAAGTTGTGCACTTCCTGAACGATTGCCCGAGTAATTCCTGGTGTCTGATTGGCCTAATCCGAGGACCACATCAGAGTCCTCATCCATGCTACTAGCACCATCAACTTGGCCTAGGCCCAGCACAATCGTAGATTCCCCACCATCATAGGCGGGAGCACACGGTACTCCAGGAGGTTCTGGCCTCTTTCTCTTCAGACTCTTGCTTGAATTTTGATTTCCACTTATGTATCCATTAGAAACCGCCACTTCACCCGTGGACATGCCATTAAGCAGATGGTCGGTGGGGTATCGATCCGGTAAATAACTTTTCAACCTGAGAATTGTTTCATGGCTCTGGCGCTCTCCAACACCATTGCTAGGTGACAAATCCCCAATCGATAGAGTAGTCATTGGAGAACCAGCCATGAGAGGAGCTGTGGTATGTCGTCTCACCAGCACTGGTCTAGCTAAGGGTAGTGTATAATGTGCTCAGAGACAAACTAGCAAGCAGAGGGCGTTCCCAGAGCTCTGCCAGAGGACTCAAACAAGATTAGAACATGTCCCAAGCACAAAATTATATACTTTCATTCAATTGTTATATCAATTGACATCATCCTAGCATCAAGTACGACAATCTAAATATTAAACCATTCAAAAACCATTAACAATCGAGACGCTATGCAACATATCTTAAGTCAAATCCCCTTCATAAGCTTTTGGAAGACTTCGCCAACATGAAAAAGCATGTCTTCACACACAACTTCGATCCACAGGAGAAAATCATGAGCCATAAACGACCACTATCCCATGTAGATCGACACCACACAACCGACATACTTATTTCTAAGGTATTACCTGAAAACATCAGTAGACTCTAGTCAAGTTACCGACAAACAGAAAGCTACAAACCAGGGAATACCTCAAACTTGAAGGCAGATAGCAATCACATTAGTTAAAAATTTGTTCAAAAGAAGGATTAAATTTGATAGATCAGGGAACTACATTCATAAAAAGTGAGTAAATAGCTACACACTACTTCTCGTGGACTATTTAATCACATCAACAACAGGTCCACCAGACAAATCTTTTAGAAGCCAGGACAGAGATTCACAGACAAGACACAAACTATCATGTACACAGGAGTTTCGGACACCTACTTCGAAGGACGAATGCCGCTCACAACCATGAGGCCAAGAGCATCCGCAATGAGCTCTAATTGAGAACACCCGCTTCCATTTCAAACAAAACAGAAGTCGTATCACAGCGTAACTAGCCTTGATTTCACCGCAGAAAGAAGCCAGCTACGGCTCTTCCATCTCAAATCTCCGTTCCTTAGGAAAAAATAGCCCCGCACCCGCCACGGTTCCAGCCGAATATGCTTCACTTCATGCCGCGTAAGCTGCATACTCGGTCACCTCCCAAATCAAACAGCCCTCACCACAGCCTCCATGTACACCTCCAACTCGAAGATTCCACCCCCACTCATCCCTTGACCATCCTCGACCCCACCAAGAACAAAGAGAAGGCAAATAACCAACCACCTAACACCCTCCAACCGAAACTAAGATCTCGCCGAATTCACAACTTCCACTTCAAACCGACTCGGATTCCCCAGCTCCGACACTTCACAAAACCTTCACCGCACAAAAATTCGCCAGATCAACACATCACTCCGAGATCCCTAGGAGAGAATCTTCAGCGCGTGGTGAGCACGTGTTCACCATCTCCTCCCTCTTTCGCTTTTCCTCCCTCTCCGTCTCTGTCCTTTCAACTCTTCCTCCCCCCCCCCCACACCGCAAGCGCACAAAAACCCGACGCCGTACGCGCTCACCTATCAAACTATCCCATTCCGTGCTAATTTACCGACTTCGTAAGCAAACGATTCACACCGAACAGACGCCGCAGAAAGCAGCAAACCCCGTGGAGGTGAGCAAAGGACGGAAGGCAGAGAGAAGAGAGAAGAGGGTAAAGGAAGAAGCGGAAGGAGTAAGGAGAGGGAAGAGATGGAGATGGGGAAGGGAAGGGTTTCGTGGGAATGGGGGGCCCCGCATTCCTGGTTTCTGGCAGCAAAGCCCGGACGAAGATGCGGCCTGCCGCCAGCCATGTTGGGAGGGGCCCGTATACGACAAAACCCCCCGCGGTGGTGGGCTCCTCCCCTCTTCCTTTCCTTCCGGCCTTCCTTTGCCTTCCCTTCCCATTCTTTATCTGTCCCCCTTCTTTCTCCCCTTGCTCCTTCGACACCCCCTTTAGCCAACCTCCCCGCCACCAGTCTCCGTCCCTGCCCTAACTTTGCCCCCACTTCCTCTGCCTTTCCCCCCGCTCGGTCCCACACTGCGTCCTCGTCGCTCATCCATCCATCGTATCGTATTCTCTTGCCCGTCCATCCATTCGAATGTATACCTGCCATCCGCGTAGTCGTATCTCGAATTTCATCATCCTGCCGTTCATTCATCGGTATATTCTTTTGTTCATCCTATGCATTGCACAAATCCATCCATCGTATAGTATTTTGGTTCCAAAACATCAACACCACGTGTAATCACACTAAAAAAAATATTACTAGAAACTGAATTCATTACTATTATTATTGTTTTAAAAAGGTCTATTACTACATAGTTTTGATTCTCTTTAACTTAATAAATAAGTAAATTATCCTATTATTTGGTGTGAATTCTATTTTTTTCCCCTAATGGTTACATTAAAATTAACGTTCATGCATTATCCTCTTTAAATTGAAATTAAAGTAGTTTACAAGCATTGTTTTTCAGTGTGTGGATTTTTAAGATAAAAAGATCCAAAATTTCCTTATGAATGGTTATAAACAACACATCGTTCAAGAGTTTATTATTATTATTATTATTATTTATTTTTATTATTTATTTGTTTATCTGTATTTTTGAATGAACACATTAGAATCACGCCTCTAAAAAATGGTTTCTTATGATGGATCTAGGTGTAATGACAAGTTTGCTTTTGTAAAATTGTTTATTTATCAATGTAGCATGAGTTTAATATTAAAGCAAACATCACACAAAAAGTAGGAATACAAAGCCAAGATGACAAAATGAACCAAAAGTAATGTTTATATTTCAAGCTTAATTAGTAACAATGCAAACTTTACTCATTTCTGCAAACAAAAATGTATCATGAACGATGTTGATTGCTGACACCAATAATTCAACGCTCTTCATATTTGAAGGCCCGAATTTATTCTCATGCAAATAAATATATAAAGTGTAAATTACATAAAAACAATGAATATTTTTGAATAATTTTCTAATTCAATCATTTCTTTACTCAATATCATAGAGTAAAGAAATGATTGAATTAGAACATTTTTGTGAAAATGGGTACATATTTCTTGAGTAACAAATTACATTTGATCAAAATTAAGACACAAATAATCTCTTTTTAAATATATGTTTCAATTTTTGGACAGAATTCAAGTTTTATATGATAAGTTTATAAAATATAACTCAGTATTAATTTTAAATATATAAAATTTAAATCAACTATTAAAATAATTCCAATACAATAAAAAAGAAAAACCGTGATAATATGTTTGCTTTTAATATAAAAAATGATTGATGCATGAAGTAGAAGAAATATATATATATATATATATATATATATATTTAGAAAATAGGATCAATTTTTTTGGATAATATCACCTCATTATTTCATTATATATGAGATTATTAAAAAAATAATTATTTCGACCTAGAAGCATAAATCTACAGTACGAATGTTATAAACATAAACTATGCATGCTTCCATAAAACACATTTAGTAACAAGAAGGGTGCAACAACTCTTTTAATGACTCAATATATAAAAAAAGCCTATATATATATATATATATATATATATATTACAACTATGTAATATTTTTCCACACTATATTTTTAATAACTATCTATATATTATGAAATACTCTACCAATTTTTCTATTAACCAAGATCTACTGATTTGGAAAATGTGTCTTGTTACATTGCATAATTGCTTTGCAGGCTACAATATGTTTATACTGATATCAACTTATCGAATTTACATGTTTTCAATAAAAAAATGTAACCTGAATTGTGCTTATTGATAAAATGCATAACACTTTAGAATATGTTTATACTAATATCAACTTAAGGAATTTACATGTTTTCAATAAAAAAAAATGCAACGTGAATTGTGCATATTGATAAAATGCATAACTTTTTACAATGACTAGTTTAGTATGTCAATATTCCGTGGTGTATCTGAATAATGTACCAGAATTAAAATAATTCAATTAGTTAAATTATTTCTTTGGATTCACAGTACTTTCTGACTTTAAGGTTTTTCCAAAAACTGTAATTTGAGTCTTGTCAAGAAAAAGAAGAACAACAAGATATATATATATATATATATATATATATATATTTGTTGAAGTTTAATTTTTTTATTAGAAACAAGATTATATTAGTGTTTAAAATGTTTAACTTAAACATGCAATGTAGGATATTTTCAAATAAAAATTGCACTTTTATAGGAATAAAATATTAAGTTTTACATGAATATCCAGTATATGATCTATGAATATTTGTTTTGTTTGAAAATAGTTGGGATCTTTTTCAATATATATATATATATATATATATCATAACATTGTCTGTCTGTGATGGCAAAGTTAATCTCTCTCTCTCTCTCTCTCTCTCTCTCTATATATATATATATATATATATATATATATAATAGATTATAATATAATGGGTCATCCTAGATACTAAAACAGTTCCTACAAATAGAAAACAAAAAAAAAACAAAATAACAATAATCAAACAACCATCTCTACCATAATATTAGAACAAAATAACATGTTTGTTTCCCTTGCACTGTATATTGAACAGAAGATCACTTTGATAGATACAAAATTACCAACCTCAATGTGACAATGGTTGTTGATTTTAAATAAATAAAAAAAGAAAAAAACAGAAGTACACATGCCATACTATAACACATAATATGTGGATTGAATGAATTTGAACTTGTTGTTGTAAGTTTCATTCGAAGATACTTCTTTCTTCAATTTATCAATTAACATGCTTACACACACTATTTTTTTTAATGAAGGAATTCTATTGATATTACATGATGCTTCTGATTTGACCAAATAAATGCCTGACTAAAGCCAAATTTACCTTGTTTGACTTTTTTGTACATTAACTATGAGTTTGTTCTTATATTAAAAAGTTATATATATTTTTTGAATATTTATGAACAAAAAAAAAAAAAAAAAAAAATGCATTTGAGAATCCAAAGCAGCTTTTACTTACCTATGCAACATGATTCCTTTTGCACATGATATCACATGATCTTTTTTTGACTTTGTGTTAGTTTGTAATATGGATGATGTGACTTATTTTACAATAGTAAGCCTGTTCTAATTTTTCATTTAAAAAATCACGTATTAGTATTTTGACATCTTAATTTAATTATGCATATAAAAAATTCAAGATATATCTAGTAAAGAAATGTTAAATGATCTTATTACATACATATGCTCAGATGTGTGTAATAAAAATGTGTGTGTGAACCTTTTGTTATTATTTTACTAATGACATAATGCACTAATTTGTACAAGTAAAGTCCACCATATGTTTTTATCATTATATTGAGTTATAATATATCAAATTGATATTTTATTCAAACATGTTATTTTAAATAAAAGATTATATAAATGAGCTTCACCATTACAAATAGATAATATTCTATTACAACTATCCATGTAAAAATATTATATATAGATATTTTTTGTCAAATCCAACCTTATATATTTTTAATGTTTGTCAGTGAGCCTTATTGATTGTGATTGCATATATAATGTATTAAAAAAAAGAACTTTGAAGTCACAACACATAGCATCAACAAAGTTGCATACAAAGAGAGAGTGGAGTAAGTTGTTTCTTACTTTCAACATCCATTACTTACAAGTGGTAGTTGCCATCTTAAAAGATAACTTCTACTCTTTGATTTTTATATTCATGGTCTTAGGATCTTTTGGCACCTAACTTATCATGAGGGTATTCTATAGTTATTGGATCCTTTAGTATCTTAATAACCATGATGTTATCTTATGATAAATACTAATTATTCTTATCTAATCTTTAAATATTCTCTAGTTAATACTTTATCATCTTGACTTTGACTCTTGGTTCTTGATCTTATCCTATATCTATAAGATGTCCTTTTCATATATCACAAGTTAATCATTTGATTATTAGCAACTTACCTAAGATAATATTGTTTATAAGTTAATTTATTCTATTTTTACTTTTATTTATTTATTTTAATACTTTTTCTTTGCTATTGGTTAAAGGCTTTCAATCCTAATGCCTTTGTCAACATATGATGTCTATCCTTTATTAGTACCTTTATCAATAAATTAGCAAGCATATCTTTTGTTGCACAATACTTCATATCAATTACTTTTGTTACAATCTTATGTCATATAAAGTCAATATGCTTGATCCTTAAATGTCAAAGTGTTTTGTCCTTAAATGATGTTTTGGGTTCTTTGCAAATACAAGACATCCTTTATTATTACACTCTATTGGAATTACTTCCATTTGAATTACTTTAATATCTTCCAAAAGTTATCTTATCCATATTACCTCTATTGTACTATGACTTACTGCTATGTATTCCACTTCTATTATTAATCTTGTAATTTTTGGTTGTTTCTTCTAATTCCATGAAATAACTCCTACTCCAATATAGAACATATATCCCATTATTGAGCTTCTATCATTTGTATCTCTAGCCCAATCTAATTAATAATAGCCATACAAAGTAATGTTATTATTTATAAGACACAATTTGAAGTGCAAAGTATTTTTTAAGTACCTCATAATCTTTTTAATGGTTGCCCGATGGATTAATTCAGTCGTTGATATGTATTAGCTTACAACATATACCACATTTAGAAGATTCACT